ATGGATTGCGAATGTGTGGATCAGATGCTGATGCTGAATAGCTGTTTGTATGTCACGCTTCATTGATGGAGGTTGCATCTAACCTGTATTTCCATGCATGGCTGATTTTGATGAAAATGAGCAAAAAACATGGAAGTCGTTGCTATTAAAGACTGGATGTTGGATTCTCGATGATTGTGTGCTTCGACAAAAATTGCCAAGTTCACCTAAACTGATTGTTCAGCAAAACAGGATTTGTTGACTGTTTTGTCCAAGGCAGTTCTAACTAAAACATACCGTACCTGAACTCCTGGACCTGAAACTGACATTTTGACTAATTAATGATGAACTAATTAAGGCCAGGTAGGTTAACTGATCACAATCTCTCAGCGGACACCACTGGAAACTTCTTCAACCTCCAGTTGGTACAGGAGTATTGATTGCTATGGCCAAATCTGTGTAATATTTGGATGGATGTAACTCTGTAAACATTGATTGGCAATGGACTTTATTCAGTACCGTTTTACATTAACATTTATTGATGCATGTTGTCCTGAGGTGGCCATTGAAGAGGAAACACTTTCTTGGAACCATTTCTTAAAATATTCCTACTTTGTACAGACACTTTTTCCAAAAATGGAACGTATGATGAAAAAGTCTGTGCTGTAAGATGAACTGTGTTAAGAGATGAAGACAACATCAGCCAAAATTGTCTAAACTTTAAGATTATAACTACTTCTTCTGTGTATAAGACACTCCCAGATTGGTTTCCATTGGCATGACTATGAATAAAGAGGAGAAGATTACAGATTTCATCAGTTGGCTTTAAGACCCTGGACTTTAGACTTGGACATAGTTACCCATGGTGCTCCTGTTTCCTCAAGCAGGTGGATGTTGAAAGGACGGAGTTGTGAAAAGACATCGGGCAGATCTTGTTGAACTACTGCGTGTCTGAACAAGGAGACGTAACACAAACCCAGATTCTGATGTGACATCTCTGGCAGTACACTCAGACTGAGACACAAAAACCAGTCTGTTTATATTTACTCGGTGTATTTATCAACATTGAACAGTGAATTAAAATTTCAATCAGCGTGGAATTTATGTTGACATAAAAATACCAGTCAGTCAACACCCTGCTACATGTGCAAGGTCGGTGTTTGACTGCCTAGAGACAGTTTGTTTGCTATGACAAACAATGGCATTAAAAGCACCCCTTTGCACTGCATGAATTAAAGTTTAAATCATTTGAGGCGAGAGCAAGCGGATCTCTTGTGACTTTCTATTCAGTCTGTGGGTAGGTAGGTTTCCTCGACAGATCCTGAGTGTTGATAGACTTGAATGAATTAAGACCCGTCTGGAAAAAATGACTTGTATTGAATAGTGTCTATTTTCTTGGACCAACAGCATAAGGGGATTAAAGTTTGAAGCCTATGGGATCAAGTGTGAAATGTTTACAGCATGACAAGTTTTATGTGGAGTGTCTCGTGATGAATATTCCGACTTGATGTTCAGGGTTTAAATGTCAGTCTTCATGGTGGATGAAGTGGTGTTGAAGTCAGGAATTAATTGCCCTTAACGCCTCGACTGGGAAAGCAGGTAGATTTGAACGACAGCAAATACAAAGATTTGGATTACTGGTGTGTTTTTTGACAGAAGTCTTCCCGAGACGTTTCATCAAACAGGTTGTAACTGGATTACAAGATATGTTGACTTAAATGTGTGTCAGTGTCGACAAAAATTTGACATGGGAGAAGACAGACATGTGATCTGCAAATTTGGTTAAGTAATTGAAAAAGTCTCTGCTTTTCAAGCTAGTGTTTACAGAAGAAGGTCAAGAAAACTGTTCAAGTTTGACCAGGTTGAAGAAACAACCTCTTGTCAATTCTAAAAAGAATCTCAAGGCTTTGAAGGAAAACTGTCACATTGTATCATTGGGAGAAACATTTTCGTATTTCGCTTTCAATGATAATGGACAGAAATGTGCAGCGAAGCATATTATAGTGGTATACTACAATACCTCCTTTGTTAATTATTGACGTGCTTCTAACCCTGAATGAGCCTGCCAAGGTTAATATTTCAATTGTCATATCAAACTTTACGAAGCGGATAAATACCTACATGGACTTAACCATCATATATACACAGGCTGAAAGGTGTGTTCAACTATAGTTTGTGCTAACATGGTCTTCCGTCTCCCTCTCCTGGACTTAGCGGTTTAGCTCAGGTGTGTGAATTATAACACGGAAATCTCAAGAAGCATCATTCAGGCTGAGAACTGATCCTGTTTAAGGTATTTACAATAACAGACGTGACAAAACAAGCTGCCTTTTGATTGACGGACCACAAGGGCGTGATCGCCGTTATGACCTATTCTTGATTACACGACCTCTAAGGTCTGTCACTGACCTGTCCACTTTCACCTCAAGTATTAACACCGTTCTTACCCACGATAACATTCACTTACAGGAGGTCTGATTGGACAGACAAGGACACTTATGTGCTGTTTTCCTGCAACTAAGGTTGTCTTATATAAGAAGGCTTGTGACAGATTTACGAGGCAGTGGGCTGATATGTTGAATACTCCCAGCTAACCTACCCTGTGAACTCTTCCAGTGGTCGACTGGTCGCCCGTGAATACTGCACATATAAAGAGTCTATTTATATGACACATAATAAACTCTGATGAATTCACTGGAGGGAGGTCATTGATATTAAACAGGTTTGGAGATTCAACTGAAACTTGGCTCAAGTTGGGTTCAAGAGGGTGTGACATCTTCAAGTGAGGAATTTGGACCAAGTTAAGATTCATTTAAAGACAGGCTGAGTCTGACAAAGATCACTGGTTGTGAATTTACAGGATCAGCATGTTTTGGCGTGTGAATCTGAATCAGACATTCTCACAGCTTGGGGAATACATGCAGGACGTTCACACCACAAGAAGTTAAACAACTTTACATTGAGCGAAGTTTTTACTTTGCTTGAGAAACTTGAAGAATGTTGTTGACATTGTGAGCGTGAATAGCAAGAAACGTGACACATTGTAGAAGAGTTACACCTTGTTTACAAGTACCCCTATGGATGACTCTTTTTGAGGATGTGGAACAGTGTCTTTTGATAAATTTATTAATTATTTTAGAAAAGTAGATCGGCTCTACATCATGAATGTACGTCATTGTCAGATCTGTAATGCCATTATAAAGATTGATGTGGATGTACCATGATCCTCCGGGAAATAATGAAATGAGGATTCTAATGGGAACTGAAGGTAACGTGATGAGGATGACGATCGCTATAGCATGTATGATAATGATGCGTGATCTCTCTATGTGAAACCACAGCCCTTGACGGATGGCTTGTTTATTTGGGACGGCATATACCGTGAACAGATAAAAGGCTGCAAGTCGTGTTGCCTTGACAAAAACCTTTTTTAACAAAGGTGCGACTGTGTTATAAGTGTGCTATACCCAGTAGTGGGTAACGCTTGGTCGACCTCGTGATGGACAATGCTGACATGACTGTATAGAGAGATTGCATTTTACGAGAGCATTATGGGTAGGTACAACCATTCACATGCTGTAATCCCGCGGGAACAACAGGTGGACGTCTATATCTGATCGCATCCTATCCAGTCTCTTGTTGGTGCATCATGGGATGTACTTGAAAGTTGGATGCTGCTTGGCATGTTTGTTGCATCCTTTAATTGAATCATAGCTATTGACACTAGTGTGTGGTCAGTGAAAGAGACTTATAGTCAATAGTGACCAAGATGGAGTACAGAAGCTTCTCTTCAAGGTACGGTCAGTCGTCAAGCCGTGCAGCTTTCCCGCCCAGTCCTCTTCAGAAGTATCTGGCTACTCCCCGATATGAAGCAAAGCACAAGAAGCGGTCATTCCAATATGCACCAAGAGTGCGTCACAAAATGGCATATGTCAATGGTCGGTTGGTGAAAGTGTATAACAGTGCATGGCTCAATGATTATGAGAGTCATGAGAAAAAACTTGATGTTGTTGGAAAGACCAATCAGCTTCTAATTCTCACTCCATATAAACAGTTCGGATCTCGTCATGACGTGTCAACTAGAAGGAAGTCTCCAGCAACATTAGAATTGCCAACATCTCCGGGCTACCATTCCAGCCTCAGTGTGCCAAACTCGCCCTTCCTGACCCGAAGATCTGGTACCGAACCGAAAAGATGCTTCTCATACAATGAACTGTACTCTCCTAAGTCGCCATCTACTCCGCGGAAGTTTGGTTTGGGGACTCGCAGGACTTACTCAGCTTCCGATTTATCTTCATCCCCATCATTTGACCGAAGTTTTGGGTTCCCTCCTTACAGTCCGAACTACCGTCGGTGGACGTCAAACTATGACATCTCGTTCTTCCCCGACCACTACAGCTCCACTGACTATCTACACAGTTATCGAAAAACAGGTAGCTGTGACGTTCTCTTCCCACCATCACCCTCATCCTTGGACTGGCGGACACTTTCACGTTTAGACAGTGGTAGCTCGGGATATGATTTCCGTTCTCGCACAGGAAGTGGTAGCTTTTTGCGAAGGTCAAGGTTAGAATTGGAAGACCAAACTGGTGGTTATTGTTCCCATACTCAGTCAGAATGTGACTTTCCTGTTCGATATCAAGGTCCTTCATCTAAATCTGAATGTGGTGTTTCCCCGAATGATGTTGCTACAAGATCAGAAAGTGGAATATCAATTACTCTCAGTGATTTTGACAGTTCATTTGTGGGTGGAGATGAGGAAACAGCTTCTGTTGGATCTGCAGATCGGTCAATGGATCGATCTCTTGATAGTTTAAGTGTCTTTCCACTGGATTTTGATCTCGAACAATGTGACACTGAGAGTGTCATGTCTTACGACAGGACTTTGGATATTGTGTATGAGGATGAAAACAGCGACCCCGATCAGGAAGGGGATGGTGCTTCAGGAAAACAAGATCGGGAAAGAGTTCCGTAAGTGCCAACCTGCTGAGTCGGTTTGAAAGGACATATGTGAGGACAACCGGTCCTGATGTACAGCAGCCGGGTGATGATGATGTGTTCCGGCAACATACAGACATCTTGTATCTCAGTGATGGGGCCAATTTTCAGATGGATGATCCAGACTTGCTGCGTGTAAGAAACAATGAGAACCTTACTCAACGTACACAGGTCCTATCTCTTGGTGATCGTTCCAATATTCAGTCAAGTGATTCACATGCTGTTGTTTCTAGAAATGGTGCTCACTACAGGGAACATTCTGAGATGGTAACGGAAGGAACCGATATTCATATAAATTCTCATTCTCAACATAAACAGCCAGGCGATGGTGACTTCAGGGAACATGTTCAGACATTGTTTATACATGATGAGTCCAACATGAGGGATGAAGGGAATACACAAAATGACAGATCCAGGAATCGGGATGATGGTGACTTAAGGCAACGCACACAGACTCTTAATCTCATTGATAGGTCCAGTATTCGAATTGATGACAGAGGTTCACATGTCTCAAACATTAATGATGATGACTTGAGGCAGCACACGGACATCTTGTATATAAGTGATGGGTCCAGTATTCAAATTGATGAAACCGATTCACAACATGTCTCAAACATTCCTGATGATGACCTCAGGCAGCACACGGACATCTTGTATATAAACGATGGGTCCAGTGTTCACATTGATGACAGAGATTTGCAGCAGTTAGTCCAGGGTGGTCAACTGGAGGACTACAGACAACCCACAGAGACACTGTATATCACTGATGGGTCAAACGTCCACCAGGATGATCCTGAAACATCTGGTGTAGACCTACAGGTGACAAGGAGCCAAGATGCTGATGTCAATGTTGATGGTGCTGGTGTAGACCTACAGGTGACAAGGAGCCAAGATGCTGATGTCAATGTTGATGGTGCTGGTGTAGACCTACAGGTGACAAGGAGCCAAGATGCTGATGTCAATGTTGATGGTGCTGGTGTAGACCTACAGGTGACAAGGAGCCAAGATGCTGATGTCAGTGTTGATGGTGCTGGTGTAGACCTACAGGTGACAAGGAGCCAAGATGCTGATGTCAGTGTTGATGGTGCTGGTGTAGACCTACAGGTGACAAGGAGCCAAGATGCTGATGTCAGTGTTGATGGTGCTGGTGTAGACCTACAGGTGACAAGGAGACAAGATGCTGATGTCAATGTTGATGGTGCTGGTGTGAGGCACCACAGCCTTCACCTTCATGGTGACTCTGATCTCCTACAGCAGGATACAGAGGATGAGAGGCACCATACAGACATCCTTTATCTCTCAGATGCTGGGAATGTTCACATTGAGGACAACCTGGAAAGTGTTGCCAGTGAATCTGAAACACACAATAATCTCAGACAACATTCAGAGACAAGATATGCAAATTTTGGCAGCAGTGAGCATTTTGAGGATACGGGTGATACCAAAAGTGAAAGTGTTGCTGAAATGGAAGCTGATACCTTAAGGCAACACACAGAGACAATATATTTCACTGATAGCAACCGTGTACTTCAGGAGGATACAGGTGATACCAAAAGTGAAATTGTTACTGAAGCGGAAGATGATACTTTCAGGCAACACACAGAGACAGTTCATGTGACAGATAGTGTCAGAGATTATGATGAAGAAATCAGACGACACACAGATACCGTGTACATTACTGATGAAGGCAACCAAGTCATTGCTGAAACTTGTGACAGAACGGATTTTGAAAATGATGAAGACATTAGACATCACACAGAAACTATCTACATCAGTGACACAGGTAATGAGAGATTTGATGAAGGTGTGGACAGAATAGGTGATAAGGATGAAGGTAGTGGTGATCATATTCGTCATCATACTGAGACTCTTTACTTGACTGATGAAGATAACATAGAAGATGATGAAGACGAGTCAGTGGACGAGTCATCAGAAAGTGACGATGAAGTTTTGACTCAGCATAGACAGATAGTCTACATCACTGATGAAGGAGACAAGCGTGTAGATAATGACGAATCAGATGTATTAGATGGTGTTAGAAGTGACACGCAGACATTGTATGTAAATCAGGATGCATTAGGTGGTGATGAAGTGTTGGTTGATGAAGACAATGTTAGAAGTGACACACAGACATTGTACATACATCAGTCTACATCAGGGCAGGAAGATAACAAACAATTAAACTCTGACGTCACTGAATTAGAGAGATCGGAGGAGTTCGAAATCATCGAGATGTCAGACACAGTGTATGTTCATCAGTCTGCAGTAGGTGGTGATGAAGTGTTGGTTGATGAAGGCGATGAAAGAAGTGACACACAGACATTGAATGTACATCAGTCTGCTGTGGGCAGTGATGAAGTGTTGGTTGATGAAGGCGATGTCAGAAGTGACACACAGACATTGAATGTACATCAGTCTGCTGTGGGCAGTGATGAAGTGTTGGTTGATGAAGGCGATGACACACAGACATTGTCATCAGTCTGCTGTGGGCAGTGATGAAGTGTTGGTTGATGAAGGCGATGAAAGAAGTGACACACAGACATTGAATGTACATCAGTCTGCTGTGGGCAGTGATGAAGTGTTGGTTGATGAAGGTGATGAAAGAAGTGACACGCAGACCATGTATATACATCAGTCTACATCATCCCTGAAAGATAACGAGCAAATAAACTCTGACATCACTGAATTAGAAATAAGTGCAATAGAAAGATCGGAGGAGTTCGAAATCATCGAGGTGCCAGAGACGTTGCTATCTTCCTCATTCATCGACAGCAGTGAGAGACACAGGCATATGCTGGAGGACAGTCTCGATTACACAGACCCACTCAACGACAGTACAGGTGTGTACAGTCGAAACATATCTGTTGAATACGACAGAGCCGACCAGAAGGCCCTGGATGAATTTATTGATGAAAGGGAGATAACTACATCGGCCCAGGTACATCTAGCGCTTGAGGAGACTGACGATCAGGAAAATCATTATAGGTCAGATAATGATGTCAAGGGGCAGAGTTCAGATGAAGATTATGATGATGATATTTCATCCCACAGACTGCTTGTTCAAAGTGATAGAGATTCATCACTAGAGAGTGAGGAAAATGTTTCTACTTCAGAAAACATGGATGTAGAAAAGACTGAAACTACAGGGAACGGGTTTAATATTCGTGGGAATTTGGCAAGTGGTTTATCACCAGGAACATTGCCAGCTGATTATAGTGAAAGTAGTTCAAGGTATACAGTGATCAGCCAAGTCACTATGGAAACACTGGACAGATGTGAAGGTGTCACAGAGGTGGCTGAGACTCAGGTCATGGTGAAAGCTGATAGTGACATCCACTCTCACAATGTGACTGAATTTACTACTCAAAGTACGTCAGAAGTGTATGGGGATGAAAATAAAGCCCCACATTTGTTAAACACAGTTCTCAATGAAACTCAAGCCAGACCCAAGAAACCCGAGCCAACATGCGAGACTGATGAGCATAGCAGAAGTGGGGATAGCAATGAAAACAGGAGACTGACAGGTAAAAAAGCAGGAGATTGGCCCCAGGTTGAAGATCCCCTACTGTCAGAGGAAGATATATCAGTGAAACAGGATGGTCAAAATCCAGGAACAGCTGACCGGTACAGAGTAAATAGCCCGTCTGCTGCAGTGACAGATGTGAAACTGGGCAATGAGGGGAGTTATGGGGCAGAAAGTGCAAATAGCCTGTGGAAAAGAGATAATGTGGAAGAACAGTATGTTACTGTTGAAGTTAGGCAGGACGTTAAAGATGGATTACTTAGGGAGGGGGTTGGCTGTAGTAGGGTGATCACAGCCAGGACTGATGCCAAGGTGGAATTAGCAGAAAGTGAGCAGACGGCAGATGTTAAGGGAACAGTGATTAAAACGTTCAGTGAGGAAAGGGCAGTTACCAAGAACTCTGACACCATCACTGACGCAGATTCTCCGAGAAATGGTAATACCCAGCAATTATTAGAAACAGAAAATGTGGATTTTAGTTCAGGACTGAGGGAGGCAGATTCTGGTTTGTCAGTTTCTGGGTTGAGTGGGAGTCGCCAGGATGGAGGAGGTGTTTACGCTGAAGAACTAAACAGAGATGGCAGGGGAATTGGAAGTGGTGTTGAAGTTGAGAAAAACACGGGTGAATGGACATACGGTGTAGTGAGTGTTGTAAACACTGTCAGTTCAGATGCTACTTCTATTAGTAATGAAAGTGATATTACAGAGAATGTGAATGTGACTTCCAGACAGATTTCTGAACATAGTGAAAGGTTGTTGAATGTAACTGACAGTTCAGTGACATTTGGCCATTCAGATTCAAGGAACCTAGGTAAGAGTGAGCAATTTGTCGTATTCAATAGTGAGAATTCGGCAATAAACACAGTGATTCAAACAGCTAGCATTGAAACTGAAAGTGTGACCCATTCTGACTTGAAAAGGGCTGACAGTAATTCAGAGTTTGCAACAAGTGTAAAGGACAGTTATGAAAGGGTTAATGAAAGGATAAATTTGTATACTGAGAGAGACAACCTCAGTAAATATGCCACACAGACAGAGGAATTGCCAATAAGTTCTGATGAGCTCAAGCAGGTAAATGCAGGTGACTGTCAGACTGTGAATACCTGTGTAACTGGACTAGATGAGGCTTTGAATGCAACAGGTGTCGGGCTGAAAGAGCCAACCGTTCTGCACAGTGATAATGCAAACACGCTGCATATTGATGAATTCGACAATGGAGTTTTAAGCTGTAGTGTACAAGCTGGTAATCTGGGTTACCTGGCAAACATGGCTGATTCTCCTAAAGTGTCGTCTGCAGAAGGTGAGCAGACGCGAATCATGGAGGATAACGATAGTGGGCTGTGTTTCACTGACAGGTCAGAAACTATTCTACCTGTGGAACAGAGATCAGTTATTAGGACAAAAGTTCAGTATAAAGTGAAGAAAACCACCAAAACTGTGATGAAAACTAATGTGGATGTGAAAAAAGTTCAGAAACATTCAACAGGGGACTCTGTTGAACACGAACATTTGACGAAGGTTGAGCAGACGACAGTAGTTCGCCAGAAAATATTCAGCTCAACTGAATCCCTTGACATAGATGAACATGATCAGGAAAACATGAAGATTGAATATAAAGCAGTTATTGATGCAACAAAAGACAAAGATGGACGCCAACTGCCGTCTGCTCATTATGAGACAAGTTTTGAAACAGTATTGCCGAGAGTAGTGGGACAGAATGTTCTGCATGGTGAATCAGAAGATGTTTTAGCAGTTTGTGGCCCAGAAACAGATAATGTTCCCCAAGATCAGAGCACTGTGATTGCTGGACATGTTTCTATTGAACCATCACCTGGTGTGGTCCAGTCAGTGGGAGAAAATACCGACAGGGCGACTCTCAAACCGTCTGATGTGGCACCACACACAGACACAGGCAGTATAGAAGAGATGACAGCATCGGATTTTGTTGTAGAATCTGACAGTGTAACAAGTGTTATGAGTGTTGTGTCTCCAGAGACTGTAGAAATAGACAACAGCCTTGAATCTACAGGTAGCCAGACAGTGACCTCCCGTGTCACAGAAGTGACAGATTCAGTGTCAGCTGACAAATCTTCAAGTTCCAGCTCATCAGTCATGAAATCAGATATAGCTGAGGATGGGTCCAGTGACAACAGTGTGTCGTCTGAATACACAGAGAGGACAGAAATTTTCATCCAACCCCATGCCCTGTCGCCCATCACGGTCAGAAGGAAAAGATGGAGTACTGAGAGAAACTTTGCCGACAACAAGCTGATCTGCACCGTGTTTGAAGACACCGACAGCCCATCACCGCCGAAGGATGAGGCCCTGTATATATTAGAAGACAATATTCATGTTGCAACCAATTCTACCGACAGAAGGGAAGACTTTGTTGTAATGCCATCAAAACATTCATATAAAAATAGGCCTTACCTTGAAACAAAACCCATGTGGACGTATGATTTAGCAAGTTTATCTGGTGTTAGATATGTTGAGGAAGGGGAAAATGTTGATGAAAATGACTCTGATTCAACTCTTGTGGATAGTGATGGGGGTGAGATGGAAGCGACTGATGGGGTTGTCTCCCCTGATTCCGCAAGTAATACTGTACAGATTACTGGTGTTGATGATGAAAATATGGAGGGAGAAGAGATCTCAACAGACAATTCCCAAACAGTCAAATCTGAATATTTACAGACCGATTCTTTTACAAATGTTACAACACAAATCAGTAAGCAAGTCACTGCCACGAACATTTCCCACACATATGAAAGTTATAGTGACAGCTCAAAGGATGAAGAATATATTACTGACAGCATGTCAGGATCTGCCACCGAGGCCACTGTAAGGAGTTTACATGGTACAATGGATAGTACACTAAGCCTGACAGGTAATGGTGGTGTGAGGAGTGGAGCTGAGCTATCTGATACCCTTGATCCTGTCACAGTATCTGCACTTCCTGAAGATGAGTACACAGCATGGGAGGAGACTGAACTCAGTGACGAGGATGTAAACACTAATAGCCTTTTTTTAGGTGGTGGATCGAGTGAGAGAATAGTTCATAATGTGAAAATAATTGAAAACACAGAAACTAAACAAACAACCGGACCTGTAATATCAGAATCAGATTGTACTAATTTCTCACCAATTATTATTACTGTTAAGTCGGACATTGATGAAGGAGAGGCGGAAAGGTCGTGCCGAGATGTGGTTATAGATGATAATGGAAACGTTCTGCAAGGAAAACAGCCTGATACTGTTTCATTAAGACCTGAGAGGGAAGTGTGTGATTTATCTAGCTCATCTGTGTCGGTGAAGAAAAAGGAGACAGAAGATCGAAGATCTGTGGTGGGGGGCCTAGATGGTGAGGAGAAGAATGATTTATTCCAGGATGTTGGCGAGATTGACATTAGAGTGGAATCAGAGGGTAATGCACATACTGAGAGGACACAGACAGATTTGTCAAGGGGTGTCGAAACAAACATAGATGATTTACAGAGTGAATCTAATCTTCTTGTCACAGATGCTTCACATTCTGTATTGACACTCCACCAAACTCAAGCTGCACAGATTAACAGTCAGACTGAGGGGCTTCATTCAAGGGGTGATAATGAGGGTGGTAGTTTGGTACAGAATGAGACTTGGAGTGGATTTAGTGACAGTGATGACAACCTGAGGCATACAGACAGGACAGAAGATAAACAGCTTGGTAATGAACCAGATTTGATGTTGGAGGGGGTTGAGTAGATCCTTGTCACACTAACTTGAGCACGGAATCCTTCCAGCAGGGTCTTTTCACATCCACTGAAGATGAGGTGACACAGATTCACGGGTCAGGAACTGCATACAGTGTGCTTGAAGCAAGTGATAGTATTGATGGTAAACAAACCATCCTTCCCGCCCCTCATTCAACAGTGGACTCTGCCAGTACAAGTGACGGATTAGTCTATTCAGGTCACAGTAAGGTGGGAAAGTTAAATGCAGAAACAAGGCAAAATGCCGTCTGCTCTCAATCAATTCCATCTGATGATGGAATGTTGATTAATAGCCCCAGTTTAGAAGATCAGCAGGCAGAGGATCTAAAACATGCAAATGTGACTAGGGCGTGGGGTCGTAATGAATTCACAGTCGAGAATGTGAACAGTGTGAGTGGAGTGGAGACAGTTGACGGCAGCAGTGTAGGACTTAACGTTGAGAGAGAAGTGACTGCCACTGGTGAGCTCAATATTAATGCCATTCAGTCAATCGAGTTGGAAGATGATTCATTGGATTGCGATAGGGAGACTCAGCTCCTAGAATTCTCAGAGGCATTTAGGCAATATTCCATAGAGGAATTGCCATTACGACTAAGCCAGCGTGAAGGATGAGTCGAGAGTGGAATTGAGAGACAGGCTTACAAGTGACAATGATGGTGAGAGTGAAGAAATTGAACAGTCAGAGTTAGATTATGACGATTGGGAGGAAAACGAGGCTGCGCAGGAACAGATACATTTAAATAGCGCAGCTGACGATGGTTTGAATATAATTGAAGAAAATTCAGATTCACAGTGTGCAAAAATGGAAGATATTTCATCAGAGGATGTTAATAGGAGTATGGGATCTGACCAGCTTGACCGCTTGGACTGGCTGGAGAGCCAGGTCCACGTTGAAGAAGACCAGTATCACACTGTCACAACCAGACATGTTCGAGTCACGGGCCAGGTGGAATATGACAGTGACGCCGAGGAAAACAATAATTTTGTGAAGGGACTAGATTCCTCCATGGCTGACGATTCTGACAATTCTGACATGGATGTATCAGACTCGCAATATTCAACAACTGCTACATGTGAACTGCGGGATGGTGAAACCTTTGGACGACGATCTTCAACGTCAAGTGATGAACATTCTACATCATTCAGTGAACATATGACAGGGGAATTAAAATTCTCCCAATCTGACATGACATCGAGGTATTTGTCAACTTCAAGTGAAGGATACTTTTCTTCTTCAGATCTAAGAGCTGGTGAACTGAGGCTAAATATTCCTCAGGATAAATACCGCCATTATTCCTCGTCAAGTGAGGGGTACCAGTCAGTCATGAGTGATCAAATGACGGGTGAGCTTAAACCAAGTCCCACAGACTCATTTTCATTTTCAACTGAGCAGAAGACATTAGAAATGATTGACGAAGATCTAAAGGATCAAATTAAAGATTTTGAAAACTGGTCTGAACATCTTTTTGAGGGAAGACAGGTTGAAAATCATTCAATCATTTTCATCAGCAGAACAACAGACTCGAATACTCAGGAATACTGGTCAGGAACAGATTTCTGGACAATTCTCAACATCGGCAAGTGGACAGATAAGGTATGAGAATGAAAATGTTACCCAGTCATATTTGTCATCGTCTGAACAAATGACACGTCAGCTTCCTCATGGTGATTCAGGTGTAGTGTATGGACATTCGACCAGAACTGCTGAGCAGACGCAAGTTGAAATGAAACTTAATGACTTATCATTAGGGCAAGGACATTCCTCGTCTGATGATATGACCCGTCTGGTGTCTGGTGGGTCGGAGACAGGTGGCCATTTGACTATTGCCTCTGACAGGACAGTTAACATGACACTCGGTGAGCAGATGGTAACACAGAGGTATTCATCATCTGATCGTGTTAGTGATGAAATGAAAGATTTTGGTACATCTGTGACCCTCAGACATGGTGGTTCCACTATGGGTCAAGTTAGTGATCAAATTCAACATGGAGGCCAGCAAATAATTACTCAAACCTTGTCTTCCACGGAAAACACAAAACATGAATCACATCACGTCGAGACAACTGAGACACACGTCTCATCATCATCATCAAGTACCCATGTGAGACACACCATGAGAGAGACGTGTGAGAAAGAGACGTATGAAAATGTTCCGGAATCTATCAGCGAGAAGGTGAAGGATGAGCTTCTGCAGAAGGCGCATGGATACTTCTCATCTTCTGTCAGTGTCACGTTGAGTAAAAAGTGGAAAATGTTCGAGAAACTATGGCACAGTTTTGATGGATCTTCGTGGAAGGGGGCCTTGACACCTCATCTCTATACATTTGTGTTCCAAAAATCTAACCTCGGCCATGTTGGGTCTCTGGAACAGTTTGAGAAATTGTACCCACTTCTGCTGATAGAGGATGTGGAAAGGTGTCAGAATCACGTGTGTACTGCTCTGTACAGTGACGAGTACAAGAACCAACGAAAAATACAGAAATACTTCTTGCGAGGATTCACCAAGGACATCCATCGCTTGTGGCATTCACAAAGAAAGCAGTCACTTGCACCGCTTTGTGAGATTCCTGAGGATCGTGTTGTGTTGTTCAGTGACAATGCAGGTGTGGCACTCAATACTTGTCATGCCACTAGTATTCATCCCTCTGTTGTGTCATACACATCGGTGTCTCCGACACAGTTCCACCGATTTACCCAGGAGGGTGACAATGGAGATTCGGGGTCATTGCCATCAGGGGGAGATAACTCTCCAGATTCTAAGAACAATACCTCTTGTCTCCAGTACATTTGTCAGGGTGATGTCACAGATCCAACCACCATGCTGTCCAAGAGGCTTCGAGATTTAAATATTGACGACGATAGTGATGCAGAAATTCTTGATGATGTGCTGCTCCGATGTTTGAGACATTATCGCAGCAAATTCGTCAAGTTTAATCCCTACATTCAGAATGACTTCAGGAGGTCAGTGGGCAGGAATCCAACCTTTCCATACCGGAATGCAACAATCTATGAAGAAGAAGAGGACGAGAAATATATTGACTAATGTAGTCTGAACTCCAGTATTATATGTGTAGCATTGGTTAACGTGGAAACACATTTTCTGATATTTTCATGAATATTCCTGAAGTAGTGTCAGTATCTATGTTTTATATGAGGTGATGAAGTCATAGAATGATCTGGGTGCTTGTCAATTAGTGAAATGTTTTCCTCCTACTCAGACACTGAAACCAAAATATCCATGCAAGTCTGTATGAATTTGGCAAGTCTAGATCTCTTCAATATGAAGATATTTTCAGGGCTCTTTTTGGTATATCTTATAAGACAATTTGGCCAATCTCTTTCTAAAATTATCTCCACTTCAATGACTGAATCTTAAACTATAAACTATATACCGGGTATATGATCTTAATCTATAAAAACTAAAAGAACTAATTTTCTTCCAAACGTGATAATGTCACCAACATTACTGGTTTAAAATGAACTGTAAACTAGCTGTATTTAGCTCCTACGGTCTAACACTGGAAGGATAATAAAACCGTCTAATATGAAGTCGTAAAAAAATGTATATGCATGTAAGTCTATATTTTTGGAAAGGTTTTATATAACATATACCAGAAACGATGTGTAGGATGTGTTGTGAATGATGATGTAGCGTTGAAGGTGTTGTCATGCCCAGTACGTACTGCCTGCCTACAACTGTCTCCATGTGACATGAATCAAACTCTCTCTATCATTACACTAACTAGCAGCATGTTCATAGATAGGAAATATACAAACTCTCTGTTCCATAAGATCTCATCAAGGGTGGGGTTGTCTTCGATAAATACATGAGAATAGCACTTCATGATATTTTTATCTATTTTTCATATCTCTCAGATTGTAATCATATTGAAAAGATAGGGGCAAATGTGTTTATGCTGTGTAAGCGTATTTTAAGCAGCTGTTTGGGAGGAGTTGTTTTCCCAACAGTTGAACTGGCGGCGTCTTGCTAGTCGAGTGTGAAGCAGTTGTTTACTTTCTGGGTTAATTGCATGTTCACGCTTTCCATGGTCTGAATTTGTAAACGTTCCAAGAGAAGTGGAGCACTAGCTAAACTGGAACAACACATTAAGGGACAAAACACATGTGAGAAATCATTTGTTATAAGGAGCACATTAGTTATGCATTAACCTCAAATACTAATATTGTAAACCTAAATTACGTTTATTTTTTGTTTTATTTTGTTGTAAATCTGTCAAAATTTCATACAGATATAATCAGTTTATGTCATTAAGAATTATAAAAATTACTGCAGAATGAAAAGTTTACAATTTTCAAGTAATTAGGTCTTAATTTCAGGTGTATGACTATGTTTTAAACAATTACAGCTTATTTGTGTAGTATATAGGTAGTATTATCAACTGAGGGTATGATATTCTTAATATAACATGGGATATGCCAAATGAAAAAATTAAATTAAAATTTGATGTGATAAACTAGTATATTATAATTGATATTTAACGTAAATGTTTAAATGTAAAATTTAAAAGAGTTAAGATAAAACACTGAATAAATATAAATCCACATGTTTTAATTTTGAAATAATAGTTGTCTTGATGAAGTGTAAATGATCCTTTGTGAAATATAGTACAGTGCCAGTATTATTGGAGACAGTTCACAACGTTCCTGTGTACAGTGTACAATGTACTATAGGTCACAGTGTCCTGTACTACACTGGAGGCCTTGGAGAGATATGTCGATATCTACCAGCTGTCTCACCACTGCTAGGACGATAACATGCTCCATTGAGATTCCAAGTCACCTGTTTTCTCCATACTTTTCACAAATATCTGTTTGAACTCCAAGGAAAGAATGTTAGAGATTGAGAAAAAATGTCATGAATCCCTTTAATTTCTTTTTCAAATAATATTAGGCTACAGTTAAAGTATGTGGACTTGTGTTTGTAAGATTGTAATTGAAATTAGAAACAAGAAGTGTCCAAATGTTGAACTATTCAATAATAAGAATTAGGTTGCATAACAATGTTCAAATTAAAAATAAATGTTAAATTTTTTAAAAATATTTCTTAAATATTCCTTAAATATTCACTAGGATTCAGAAAACAGTGTGATAATATTTGTTAGAATCCCATAGTTATGCTCATGGAATACATCAAAGTGTTGAAAATTCATGATTGTGATCACATCAGACTTTACGGCTGCTTGAAGTTAAAAATTATGTTAAGTGTGCACTTAAATCTAACTTTGCTCAGTGCATTGTTGTAGTGATAACCAACAACAGGTGTTTTTGCAGAATCAATTAGCAAGAATAATAAACATTCTTCATTATCCAGCCACGCCTAATTAGGTGCTGTAATCAACGACATAATGCATTAATTAGCTGTATATCCTGCAAGTGTTCTAGGTCAACCATAAATATACTTAGTCACAGCACATAAAGAGAAGACTTGGTCAGCTCATGTACTGTTATAATAGTCAATACAGCTGAGATACCGTCATCGTTTTGGAAGAAGTATTTGTAGTTTAAGAACTGATACAGATATACTGTCACTATTTGTAGTATGAGATGTACTTTTGTTTGGAGTTGTTTAGAGCATGTGGCCAGTTTTGAGAGAGAAGTGTTCTGTATGTACAGTGAAATGTAGGCGTGGACATTGGTGTACAGATTAAGATCAACATATCAATATCATACTGCCCAGCTGACTGAGGTGCTGCAAATCGCTGATCAAATCCTGGTTCATTCCGACTGTGTTTCTGGGTTTGCTGGCACTATACCTGTTGATGCATCACATCGGCTTTACTCTGGTCTCAATGGGACACCCCATTGTGTCAAGCATAACTGCAATGTGACATTGTGGCCAGCACAATTGTGATGTGACATTGTGTCAAGCACACTCAGCTTGTGACATTGTGTCAAGCACACTCGGCTTGTGACATTGTGTCAAGCACACTTGCCATGTGACGTTGTGTCAAACACACTCGGCTTGTGACAATGTGTCTAGCACCTCGTGATGTGACATTGTGGCCAGTACACACATTATGTGACATTGTGTCCTGCACAATCATTCTGTTTAATACTATCACATGTGACGTTGTGGCCAGTCCATGCACCAATGCACCCGTGGTATTTAGGCTGCTATTCATAATTTGTCCTGTGAATCAGGGCCTGTACACAGTGATTAAGCAACATTACTTATGACATTTCAAAGTATATGAATTGATTTGTATTACCATATGCTGATTATTACATGTGAAATGTCATTGATGAATTCCGGGCAGTTGGTGTTGGCCGTAGAACCAGGTGCTAGTGTGACGTATCAAGCCCAGTGCTGTAAAACTGTAGAATATGAAAATGGGAAGGACCATTCCTTCATATTCCTTCATATTACTATAGAAGAGTTTACCTATCACTGTAGAGGAGATTAACTATAGAAATGTGAAAGAATAAGGTGGTTCTATACTTTTTAAAATAGTATGTTTTGTACATATATGTAGATATATTAGTTGGTTTCAATAAGGATCACTTGTATGCCTATGTTCACTGATATCTTGGATTTAAACCACTAAATTAGTAAGTAATACTTATGTACTAAACTTACAATCTTTTACTTGAAATGCTTACGTTTTCATTCACATGTTAAATTTTCAGTTTTGAGCTCATAATGTGCTTTTATCACTTGATATTTAATCACTGGATTGTTGAATCAAACATATGTAGCAAAGATTTTTAAAGTATAGAAAATAATATACATTGATGTAATTAGCGTTAAACTGAAAAGCAAATAAATGATATATAGAGATTTAACACTTAAATTGGTGCTTTGTATTAAAATCCCCAAATCACAGGCTTATCTAGTCTTTAACTAAGGATGGCTATACCTGTACGGAGCACACCTTTACCTGAGGGAGAATATTTTTGTCCTTACAATGTTGAGTTGAGCATTTAATCTCATCCTTGTACAGAACAAACCAAGATTCTGTTTAGTCCACTAATTGTATCTTAACTGTTTAATCCAGTGGCCTGTCTCCTAACAATGGTATCAAATAGTCCTGGAAAATATATTAGAGAAGCTTTGTGCTGGAGGCATGCTTGTGGCGATTTGTATTCACGGCGCGTACCTGGTTGTAGTTGTTGTCAAGAGAGAGACACGATCGTATATCTTCCAGCTCGGGCTGTGTCGGCCAGCCTGCTCACCGTGTCGCCGTGTGTTTGACCAGCACTGCTGGGTTGATACGTGGTGCTTACCTCCGATATAACAAGCTCTCCATCTTGTTAATGCATCGATGTGAGGGCATTGCTTCGTTAAGTGCTCTGTGTTAGTGTATGGTTTGTTTGTGGTCACAGTGCATGTGTTAATGCACTTTGTAATATGTGTCTGAACAGTGTCTGAGCTAGAATAACAATTATTATTTATTTATTTGTCATATTTTGTAAGGTGAAAACAAAAATTGATATTATTTTGACAAGAAAAGTGCCAATGAAATGATACAACACTCTCATATTATACACATTGTTGCTATTTAGTATTTCTTCTCAAATATGTATTATCACACAAATTTCATGTTCTGGTTTTATCAAGGTAATATGTATATTGAAAGCAAGTATGTCAGATCTGTAATTTTGTGTTTTGAATGAGTTACGTGATTAGATGTTAACTGTCAGCACGAAATTGTCAAAATTAGATTTATAAGCTTTAACATGTATAGTGCCTCTGATTGGACTCCTTCCATTAGGATTGTGAATGAAGGATTGATGGGATTCAGTTGCCAATTGTTTCATTGTTTACGAACTCACAAATTATCCATGTCTTATTTCCATACATTCCATGCCCTTCTGAATATGAAAGATACACTTTTATTCCACTGTCTCATGCAAGCGTCACTGAAGTCTGCAGACATCTTCCTCACTGGGAATGGAATGGATGCCCAGTGGGTCTGTTTGCAGGAACCCCTGATTATGGGTTTGAATCCCAGAATCTCAGTTAGGTTCCTTGGTTTGTCATGACATCTGATGTTTGTGGGTTTCATCAAATGTAAACCTTTCACAACTTGCCATTTTGGGGGCTGTGGGTAGCCTAGTGGTTAAAGCATTAGCTCATCATGCCAAAGACCCGGGTTCGATTCCCTACATGGGTAAAATGTGTGAAGCCCATTTCTGGTGTCCCCCACCGTAATATTGCTGAAATATTTCCAAAGGCAGCATAAAACCATATAAACACTCGCTCATCTGCTATTTTGGTTTTGTCATGATAAAGCTGAACAAAGCGGTATGAAAGAACTGGATATCGGCACTATACAAATGTTTGTATGTATGTATGTATGAAAGCCAACTCACTCACTCACTCACTCACTCACCCCACCCTTCCAAATCAGACATACTGTACGATTTGGCAGCCCATTAGGTTGTGTTCCAGTTCTGACTGAGTGTAGAGTTGTTTGCGTTGGTGTCGGTCATGTCAGTCCGTTTTACACGCTTGTGGTGAAGAACATTGGATACCGTGCGATATATTTACCTCATTGATTGGCCTATCCTGTAGACCAGTGCACATATATTTACACACTTTATACATTTCATATCAGAAGGTGTAATAAAGCATAATCATTATACAACATGTGTCTGTTATCAATAATCTGACATCCAATGCTGGGGTAGTGTAGTGGTGAAGGTGTTCACTCCACCACTGCGGCCAGGGTTTGATTCCCCATGTATACAACATGTGTCTGTTATCAATGATCTGACATCCAATGGAGGGGTAGTGTAGTGGTGAAGGTGTTCACTCCACCACTGCGGCCAGGGTTTGATTCCCCATGTTTACATCATGTGAAGACCATTTCTGGCACCACTGCTGTGACATTGCTGGAACATTGCAAAGAGCAGTAAAAAACCACACTGATTCACTTTGACTCGGTGGATGAACGCAGAACTATCTTGACATCATCAACAAATCATTGATTCTGTCCTGCCACAGGTCAGCTGGTGATTTACAGCATGAGCCTCAGATGAACTGGAGGTTAATAGTATGAACATCAGACCAACTGATGGTTAATAGTATGAACATCGGACCAACTGGAGGTTAATAGTATGAACATCAGAACAACTGGTGGTTAATAGTGTGAACATCAGACCAACTGATGGTTCGTGGTATTATAGTCTCAGGTCATCAAGGGTGCGATTTTGGAGTGCAACCTGGCTTATAAGTTTTTCTGCACCACTAAAATTTGGGGTCCACCATAAAAAATTGTCACTGGTTCAAAAAAGTACCATATAATCTTGTTTATTAGCAATTTTCGTGACAAGTACTCTGTATCGGATACATTCATCAGAACCTGACCCCTTGATGATAAATGAGGAATGATTCTGTTTCAATTTTGCATTACCTTTATTTATAAATATCAATATGTCATTACTTCTACGTAACTGATTTATGAGTACACAAATGTTTCTGCTTGTAACGAGTCACAAAACTCACGACAGCTATAAGATGTTGGATGATTTATTGTTACCTGTATCGAGTGCAACCTGTTTCTGAAGGAAACTGCACCAGCCATTGTTAATATGCACCAGTGCAGGTTGTGAACAGCGCAATCACACCCTGTCAACTGGTGCTTGATGGTATGAACGGTTGACACAGTACTGTATGATACAGAAAACATTGACATGACAATGCACAAAGAACATACATTTGTCACAGGCCTCACACCTTGTTTCTGCATGACACGAGACTGGAACAATGTAGATCCAGAATAGCTCCACCATTACAGCTGTAAGAACTGACTCAGTGGTCAGGCTTGGAGAGTAGTTCCTGCTGTAATCATACTCTACAGTTGGAGAAGCATTCTAGAAGTTGTAAGCAATAGGAATGACAAGTGTTTATGGATGATCATATATCATGCTGTACTCATTCCCCATCTCATGAAAACAGTACAGGTATCTACACCGAAATGTCGCAATTGTACAATAAAGAAGTTGATCATCCATAAACACTTGTCATTCCCAATCATACTCTAGTATGGAAAGTATGGAATCAACACGTTAGCACCTGGATCTACATGAATTTATGTGCCTTTAAGGATTTGCATTCTTGACTACAGGGGTTGGATAGCCAAATGGTTAATGCCCACTCTTGTCTGATCGCTGATCCAGGTTTGAATCTCGACATTGGTTAATTTGTATTACTCCAGGCTGTATTTTGTGCTGGAATATTACGAAATGCAACGTAATACGTCATTCATTTAAAAACGTGTTTGAAACCATGTGAATAACTGATATACCACCATAAGCTCAATTACTGGTCAAAGCAATGTTAACACCACCTCTCTAACAGATTCGTATTAAATATTGGGCTTGTGGACTATTCTCAACCTTGTCTTCTTGGAATTTTAAGCCCCTTCTCGTAGGATTTCTTATTCGTCACCAAGTAGTATTGTGTTTTTAGAGGAAAGCTGAATCTGGTCGCATTGGTGCTATTGTTCGCCTACTTAATATCTTCGATCGTACATGTTTTTTATAGCTCCTGGCCCCTTGGGTGATTATGTTTCAGACTTTGTGTAACAGTACTGTGAATCAATAAAGGGCATGCTTCTAATAATAGCTCGGAGAAATCGGCAAAGAAATGTCCACAGCCAGCGACAAAAAGTAACGTTCAGGGAAGTGTTTGCATTCAATCAGTGCTGCTGTCAGCGATGTTGGGAAATGACATACTGTGTCATTACACGGCGCCAGGTCTTGCTATGAAGTGTTCATCTGCAGCAGTGTCTCCTAGACACTGTGTGATGACGTAAAATAGGGCAACTATACAGGCGGGGAGCAGCGATTAAATAAACAGTAATCTAGCCTGCAGAACTATCAATATTTTTCTTTATGTTTTACATTAAGAAGAGATGAAACACTGAATTTTATGAACAATAAAATCTATGACTGCTCTTCTACTGCACACAGAGGAATAATCAGATACTAAGAAGAAGTGTTACTAAGTGATCACGTGACCCATTGTATATGGAATTTATTCCAATGTCTCATGTGAATGTCTACTTCCATCTGTAGTCTCCTTGAAGAAGTCGGGTAGATTCACCTCTCTGAGCCGCCTGGGGAAGTGGCTGCATCATCTTCCGCTCTCTGCTTGTAGAGTCCACTCTTCATAGAATGGAACGACTTGACTGTTGCTGCTTCACCTCGGTCAAGTCGGGAAATCTCCTCATCGTGAGATCACCTGAACTGGCTGCCTCAGTCTGTACCCGCCTCAGGGAACTGGCAATCTTCAGGGCTACCTGGTCTTCTTGTGGGTGGTTGTGTGGGGTCTGATTCCTAACAAACTGTCCGACTGTCGCACACTTCTGCCAAAGCAGCCACCTTGAACACACTTCCAGTGTACACACGCCTGTCGCCTTCGTTGTTGAGTCTGTAGCGGTATCCTCCAAGAGTACCTGCTGTCCTCCTTTCTGTGATGTGAAGTATTCGACTTTCTTGGGATTTGCCATGATTTGCAATGAAGATTTGTATCACAAGCATTTTAAAGCAATACATTTCCTTCTCCCTTTAATAATCTCTCAATTAATTACTCTATTCTTCAATTTTAAAGCAATACATTTCCTTCTCCCTTTAATAATCTCTCTATTAATTACTTTACTCTTCAATTTCCTTCTCGTGTGAGAACTAAATGTGTATGGAATTATCAAAACATAAGCTAGCTAACGATTTAATACTCTTGATCTCACTCTTTACTCTCCTTGCTGGCCTCCCCTAATCCCTTTGTAGGCAATAGTGCACACTAAGTGGAACACTCTACTTGTGTGCAGGTAAGCGTATCGCTGTCACTGCAAACGTTGTAGCTATTATTCCCTGTAGGCATTATTCCCTGTAGGCATTAGTAGACCTAACCCGGAAGTCTGCAGACATCTTACATACCGAGAATGGTATATGGATTAACTTTTGTACATTGTTCAATGAAAATAAGAACACCCAGTCTTTTTGTATGACTATAGCTCCTTATCTTCTGTTGAATAGGTATATATAACTCCTGATCCTAAAATAACTGAAACTGAAGTTGAGAGTGTATTAAGGGCACATATTTCTAGCCGATACTTTCAAGCAGAGATGTTTCTCATGTGTCTGAAAGACAATAAACCAATCTTACCAAAATATAGCAGTGGCATGGCAGTTCATGACAATCTATTGGCAACGATACAACTTAAGTTTCTTCAGGAAATCAGAGAAACAGAGAAAAAAGAAAATTATTAAGACCGTCGGTTGTTGCTGTCTGTAACACTGAAACAGAGATTTTGGGTGTCCTTTGTTCTGAATAATGCTATTTCCGGGTTGGTTAATTCTCATAATACCAAGCCGAATCAGATTATCAAGATGTCAAGAGACATTGAGTATCAGGCAAGCATCAATGTCCGACAGAGAAACATGAGATGAGACTGGATTATGCAGCAACATAGGATCATTGATTCTCAGACGTATTTCCTGGATTCGTAGTTGCATATCAAATAGCAACACAAACCTCCTCCACTCTCAATCTCCATCAGCAACACGCACATTTTCAGGGATGCTCGCGATGTGTGTTGTTATTGACCAATGAGATCAATACCGGCTTGTAAATGCGCTGTTGTTGGTTCGGTTCAGAGGACGGGCTGGATTGTAAATACGGGACGTGCTCGTGTAATACACAGATATGCTACATGGAATCGATAGGGATTACAGAAATATTGGCCTGAATATTGTCCGGGCTTGTTGACCGATAATTAGATATTGACTGATTGACATGAGATTAATGATTAATGGTGGAGGTGTCATGTCTTTGTGTTGAGTCATCTTCCTGTGTCAGTTCAGGATGCTAGGCTTGAACATTGTCTCTCAAGAGGCTTGGCATTGTCATTGTTCTAACAGGTCTAGGAATATGGCAGCACTTGTTGTAATTAGCATGGAGCCATTTGCAGTTGAAATTATGAGGTGACGTAGATTCTGAGCAGTGATGGTTTGGTTACCAGATAAGATTGTTTTTGTTTACTTTTATTTGTTTATTTGTCTTCAAATCTCAAATTATACTAAATAATTCTGTAAAGTGAATAATAGTGTTTTGAAAGGATGTTTCTGTATTTCTTGAAGTATCTTAACTGATATTTTCCACACAATGGTAGATGTCCTAGTCGTACATCACCTTGGGTTCCTACATCAAGTTGACATGAAGTGACATGAGTGGACTGCTTTTAAATGCTGCAGTAAACCAAACTCACTCACTGTTGTATTGTTAACTGATTTACATGAAATAAATTAAAGAAAGACTATTTTGATGTGGGAAGTACCTTAAAATTAGAAAAGCAACAATGTTCATGACTTCTGTGATCCTCCTTTTCAAATTACTTACTGAAACCAAGGTTTTAGAATATTTTATGTTTTGACCACTGACCCTGGGGTTTGGGGGCAAATCTTTTGGCCAATTGATAAATTGATTTACCCGTTAGAAGCTTTAGCTGAGGATGTCTTGGGTTTGATGGATTATGGGCTGTATAGTGTCCGTCTGGAAAGCTTATGGTTTATGGGTCAATCAATCATGTCGTATTAAAAACCGCTAAAAGTAGTACTTGTTATCACAGTGTCACCTCTTGGCTTTAAGGGGATGAAACGAGGAATGTTGGGCATGGAGTTCATGTACAGTGTCTGAGTGGGGAGTTCATATAAAACTGTGGCATAGTATCTCAGTGGGCTGGCATGGAACCAGAATGAACCCAGATATGTACAAGCACACACCCATGTGCATGCATGTCACTGTATAAGTCAATTATCTTTAAGGTGACATTAAACTCCAATTTACCTCACTCACTCACTGGATTGTCCTTCAGTGTAATTCCAAATCATGGGAGTATGCTCCAAAACCACTTGCATGAGGTATTATCTTACCTCACACATAAATGTCGCTTTCTGATTGGCTGAGCTCTCTTCTATTATTTTCAATGTACCCCGCTTACAAGCAAGTAACATTTCAATGTACCCTGCTGTCAATGGCAACTCATTTGGTACTTCGTTGTAGTAATTCTTTATCTCGAATTACATTGAATCACGTATGATGTATGGAATTACCGATGTTTTGCGAATGCAAATCGATGGAAGGGAGATAACTCTAAATCTGTTTTTCTTGTCAGCAAAATCTAGCGATGGCTTTAAAAAGATTTGTACCCGTGCTTCAACAATTCAAAATTAACATTAAGGTGTTCGGTAAGATAAATATGTTGTTCACTGGTCCCTTGGGGCCCATGGGTTGATGTACCCTCGATGTTTGTTTATGTTCCCCTCGCCCTTCGGGCTCAATGAACATAAACAAACATCGAGGGTACATCAACCCATGCCCCCCTCGTGACCAGTGAACAACTTATAATTTCCCACATAAATAATAATAATGTGTCCATTTATATAGCGCCAAACTCCACACTAGGTATGCTCATAGCGCTAACAATCAAGGCACAGCACATTATTACCCCGATAACCCAAGCTGCCTGTTAGGCGCTAGAAGGTTATAGTCATATGACTTTTTCCACCGGGTACCCATTTTCCTGCTGGGTGAACAGAGACAATTTTGAACAAACTCAATTGCCTAAGGTGAGACCACATGTGTCACATGTGCTTCGTTGTGGGGCAGGACTGAAGTCCTAGAAACTCTCAGGAGTCAAGCTGCCAAACACGGTCACCCATCCAAGGACTCTCCAAGCTCGACGCTGCTTAACTTCACCGATTTGTGACCTGAGCTTTGAGCACAGGACCACGCGCTTATAGATCACTGGTGTCAGAAAACCTTGTGAATCCAGACTCTTTAATTCAAAAATTGTATTTGGAAAATTAATTCTGGAACATCTTAAAGAGGAAGTATGACTACACACTCTTGATTGTTTCATTTGGAATTCTATGCCCTTTTGACTCTGCTGTTTTCTGTAACATACACACAAAATATAGACTGTGATGTCAGATTTTTTTCGAAAGGGTTACTTATAAAAATTACAGATTGCTCAATAATTTGGTTTGGGAATTAATTGGAACAAGGAACTTATGGGAAATACGGTCTTTTCATGTGTCATTCAGTTGGTTGTGATGAAATTAGAAGTATCTGGCAACATTGATATCTTTAGAACGGGTTTTGTAGGTTTGTTGTTGTATGTCCCAGGTGTTCCGAGTAACGGCGATGCCTCCACCACACCCACGCCCGTGGTCGTCAAGAGTGGAGGATCTCAAGGACCGCCTGAAAAACCAGCGAGGAGATCCCGGCCTGAATCCCAGAACCTGAACAAGGGGAGAGAACTCACACAGGCACCAGGTAACAACATGTGGTGTAATTTTATCACATAACGGTTGAATGAAATAGTATTTTCTCATGGTGACTCCAAGTTAGTCTGTCATACAGACCCTGAAGTAAATATATCCAAGAAAGCCCACACAAGTCTAGAAAATGTGGCAAGTCTACATTTCCTCAGCTTCAAATGAAGAAAGTCTCAGGGCTCCTTTTCATTATATTTTTTTGTTTTCACTATGAGCTTTTTTCTGTAAAATATGTTCATTTCAAAGACTAGTTGTTATTCTAACTCCAAGTACACAACACTAAATAGAGGTGGAAATTACCACAATTGTGGTGTGTAGGACTACTTCATGTTGGGTTAGGGGAACAGTCATCTAAGGTGCTTTAAGTATGAATTACATATACATGTCATATATATCAGAAAAGAAATAAAATTATGACACAATATTTTACAAGCTCTACAACACTTTAATGAAAAGTACTTGATCAGTTATCATTTTGAAAATAAAAGGGAACAATATTGGCATAATCTTTGTTGTGATATTGTTTTCTTAGTCCAATTAATGAAAGATGGAGTGAATACAATTCAAAGCTGCCAGGTGTATGCATTTTATTTTCAATTTATTTTCTAATTGGGTCTATTTGTTTCTAATAATGAGCATCAGTAAAGTGAAAAATAAAAAGGTCACAATGTGAACCTTGGTACGGCTAGATCACTGTTGACGAGAGTCTTGTGTGTTTTAGGGTTGAAATGGGTCCACAGGAATCTCTGTATGTCATGGTCGGGTTGATGACTTGGTTGATTGTGTGTCATCTGCCACTATGACATGGATCATTGCTTACAATATCGGTCAGTGGATTGTCTGGCCCTGATTTCATTATTTAAAGGCTGCAATCATTTAGCTGGAATATTGCTAGATGCGGCATTAAACAACAAACAAAGAAACACTGTTGTAGAGACTTCTGAATTTCATGAACTGATGAAGTTATGGTGTCATTGATCTTTCAGGTCCCCCTGTAGCACCAACCCCCACAGACTCCGGCGCCAAGCTGAAGCAGGAGGACCAGGAAGATGATGAGGTCACTCCCAGGATCAACCTTCGCAACTGGGACCCGGTTAGATACCTTCTTCTTAGACATTTCATGCTGTTGTTGATGGTACCCGTGAAGATCCGGGTTAGAATTGATCATGTTTGTTGTAAGAGGCAACAAACGGAATCGGATGATTAGGCTTGCTGACTTGGTTGACACACGTCATCGTATCCTAGTTGCATAGATCAATGCCCAATGGTCATGCTGTTGATCACTGGATTGTCTGGTCAAGACATGATTATAGCTGGAATATTATTGAATGAGGTGTAAAACTTAACCCACTTACTGCTGTTGACGGGGCGGTGGGGTATTCTAGTGGTTAAAGCGTTGGCTCGTCACTCTGAAGACCCGGGTTCGATTCCCCACATGGGTACGATGTGTGAAGCCCATTTCTGTTGTCCCCCGCCGTGATGTTGCTGGAATATTGCTAAAAGCGGCGTAAAACCAAAACTCAGTCAGTCAGTCAGTACTGCTGTTGACAGATGCACTTGAATGGTACTATATAGTTTGATGATTACCAGATTTGCTGTCATAAGTGCACAGGGCATGTAGAACATTGACAAAGGGGGAGTTTCACAAGTAAAAATTTTCAGTTAAAGAGCAGTAGTGCACAAACTCTTGTGATAAATCTAAAATGTTTTAAAAGTAGTTACAATACAGTTACATATCTCTTCAATATTGTGATTTTCTGTAATATGCATTTAAAAATATGGATGGTCATGTAAACATTCAGTCCTAAAATAGATTCATTTTGAGGTAGTGAACAGGTTGTTCTTGAATTCCGTCAGGGTCAACTAATTGTTACAGGGCTTAATTCTGTCAGGGGTGAACTGTCAGGGTCAACTAATTGTTAATTGTTAACAGTTACAGGCTTAATTCTGTCAGGGTGAACTAATTGTTACAGGGCTTAATTCTGTCAGGGTGAACTAATTGTTACAGGGCTTAATTCTGTCATGGTCAACTAATTGTTACAGGGCTTAATTCTGTCAGGGTCAACTAATTGTTACAGGGCTTAATTCTGTCAGGGTCAACTAATTGTTACAGGGCTTAATTCTGTCAGGGTCAACTAATTGTCAGGGTCACAGGGCTTAATTCTGTCAGGGTCAACTAATTGTTACAGGGCTTAATTCTGTCAGGGTCAACTAATTGTAACAGGGTTTAATTCTGTCAGGGTCAACTAATTGTTACAGGGTTTAATTCTGTCAGGGTCAACTAATTGTTACAGGGTTTAATTCTGTCAGGGTCAACTAATTGTTACAGGGCTTAATTCTGTCAGGGTCAACTAATTGTTACAGGGCTTAATTCTGTCAGGGTCAACTAATTGTTACAGGGCTTAATACAGTGAGTATGGTCAAATGAGTAATTTGACAGGTCTTTGATTGAATGTTTATGTAAACTTTCCTGAAAGTAAAATATGAATATGTCTTTAAATATTATTGATGAACAAAAATATCAAGATGAATTGACTTTGAAAAGCTTGTACAATTTGATTGATGTAAGGTAGATACTGTATATCAGTATTCATCAGCTGTTATGATAATGGTCACTATTTTGATTTTAGTTAGTTATATCCTGAACAGTATCTTTCACTCTATGCACCAAACTTTCTCCATGTTGACTGTGTTAAGGAGGGAGATGTTTACTAACTGCGATCTGTCTGTTCACAGAGTGCGGTACTGAAGGAGGTGTATTCAGTGCGGCTGATGGAAGACGTGAGTAGGCCACGGCATCATTCTTGGCATGTAGTTAAAAGATTTGACCAAGACCTTGGTTCAATTGCTGGATAGTTCATGAGTCAAACACAGAAAGTGGATTGTCTCTTTTTTGACTGTTATGTCCCACTGCTCAGATTTGTAGTGGACAAGGGGAGATAATCCAAAGTTCCCTACATTGCATTTCAAGTAAAGGGGATAGGTCTTATTTCAAGCAGCAATAAACATACTACACAACCAAAGATTTCTGATTTTTAAAATAATTTTTCTGTACTGCAGAATGCCGAGGACATCTCTCACCAGTTCATCGCCATGGAGGGATACATGGAGAAGTTGCCAATGAACAAGAAGAAGTCGACGTTGCTGAAGACATGGAAGAGGAGGTTCTTCAAGGCTGTGGACGGATGGCTCTACTACTATGAGGTAGGGATGACATACTTATAACAATGGACAGATGCTGGTAGTGTTGTCCGAACTTGACATAAATTCACATTTGCACCAAGAAATGTATAAAGTGTATTTTACTGTACCATCATTGAAACAGTTTTTTCTTAAAATGTTGGAAGTAATGTTTCAGTGCATAATTATATTTGTAGATAAAATTTCTTTTAAAAGACATTGACATTCTAGGCATTGACTTTGAATAATAATGATGATCATGATACAGTCATCCCTCGCTGTGACGCAGGTCTGCGGTCAGTGGACAACCCCCTGCGTTATGGGACACATATTTTTGTATAACACCAATGCCAGACCCTTATGTACATAGATTGTACAGGACATAACTAGGACAGGACATACTGTCACATCTGTGGTTAACGCATCCGTGGACATTGACTTGTTCTCAACTCCCTTGGAAGTATACAATCCAGCTGCCTGTTATCTGTATCATGTTGTTTCCTACAGTCCAGTAACCGGGACAAGCCGAGCGACACGGTACAGCTGATGGGGGGACGGATCGACGAGAAATGAGCAACAGAATCCTCGGGATCGACGATGGAGTCAGTGTTACATTCAATATAACATACTACTAAAAAAAACTAAGAACACCCATTTTTTTTACATTTGAATTTCATTGCTTCATGGCAAGACAGTTTAACTAGAGTCCTTTGCACAAAATATATCGTGGCCCTTGATTCTGCTGAGTTGTGTGTTTCTACTTGATTGTTTCAGTATTATACAATTTATAACCTTTTCTTATTAGTGCCTGCATATTTTAAAATAATTATTGTGTGAAGAATTTTATCCATGAAGTGAAACCAGACAATTTGCTCAAATGGATTGTTTTTAATAGCGTTAACTTTTTTAAAGCATGAAAGTAAGACAAATTGTTATTTTGACTGAAAAAGATAACCCATTGAGTTCGAAATGTTCAACATTCTCTTTTTGTTGTTAGATAACCCTTCAACACTGTATTATGATGAGAATATATGATACAGTTTTCTTTGTAAAGTAGAAAGATTATTTCTCCCACTTATTCAAAGATAACACTGTTTGATGTTTGATTATCATGCATTTTATTACTCCTGTCTTTGATAGGGATGTTAAATAAAAATGAAAATATTTCTAAATTGTATTTACAAAAAATAATCTGACAGTAGAACATTCCTCACAGATGTTAAGATGGTAAGATAACATGTTTGTTTTGATGGTACAGAGGGGCAAGTTCCTGATGGTGCGGTGTCCGACGGAGCGTGAACACGGGCAGTGGAAGTTGGCGCTGGAATCTCAGACTGCAGACAATACTAAAGCCAACTACATCCGCCCCGCCCTGAGAGCGAACCCTCATCCCCAGAAGGTGGCCCACCCCCTATATAGCACTCACTTTACTGTTGTCTCAGGTTGAGGGTAATCATTTTGTCACTATCAGCTTGCTGGCATCGTGGGCTCTGGCTTGCTGTTGACTTGATCATGGCGATGTGCATGTCAGCACGTTTTGTTTGAATGGTGTTGCACAAGCATGGAAATGTTTTGTTGTTAACGCCGCGAAATGAAATGAAGTTTGAGAAACTTGAACAAAACTAGGAGAGGCTTTGAGACATTTGGAGCTTTGAATGATTTAGGAAAATAGATGTGTTTTTTTATCTAGAATGCTGTTGATCACTGGATTGTCTGGTCCAGACTCGATTATTTACAGACCGCTGCCATATCTCAAATCGCCGTTCCCCAGTAGCTGGAATATTGCTGAGTGCAGCTGTCAATAGTGAAACTAAACTCACTCACTCACTATATTAAAATCATTGTTCTTGTAGTGTACTTTGGTGGCAAAATGGCATAGATTTGATCCATGAAAAATAGTTTGATCATGCTGATGAGATTTATGACTTGAAAGTCCTTTGCTTCCATCATATTTTCATTGATTGGGAATGTGTGCAGATATATGTTCAAGACATCTTGAACAAACTAACCTTACCCAGCATTAATATTACAGGCGAGGTATTTTATACCAAGCTTTCAGCGTTTAGGTTTGAGATACAAGTGGATCCGAAATCCACAGCGTTTCAAGACTACACCTGAATTTCCATCACATCCGGCTACTAACACGACTAGATGGTTAGTAAACATTTGGACCCTCCATGAGCTTTGAATGATTTATACGTAGAAAATATATTAAAATCGACCTGCTGAAGGTCTGGGTTAGAATTGATCTTCAGTAACCCATGCTTGTCGTAAGAGGCGACTAACGGGATCAGGTGGTCAGGTTCGCTGTCTTGATTGACACATGTCATCGCTTCCCAATTGCACAGATCGATACTCATGCTGTTGATCACTGGATTGTCTGGTCCAGACCCGATTATTTACAGACCGCCGCCATATAGCTGGAATATTGCTGAGTGCAGCGTAAAACTAAACTCACTCACTCACTATATTAAAATCATTGTTCTTATAGTGTTCTTGGTGGCAAAATGGCATAGATTTGATCGAAAAATAGTTTGATCATGCTGATGAGATTTATGACTTGAAAGTCCTTTGCTTCCATCATATTTCATTGATTGGGAATGTGTGCAGATATATGTCTGTACAATTTGATAATCAAACAGCTGTAAGCCTTGCACTCTGTAAGGTTTTTAGATGCGACATAGTGCATGGAATGAGTGCATGTTCGTAAAGAATTTGACAGCATTTGAATTCTTTAGGTAGTTTTACAAAGGCTAAAAAGGCCATAACATGAGATAAACCACTTTAAAACGTACCTGAATTTAATAGTATAGCCTTTTAAGGCTTTCTGTCTTGAACAGTGTCAGTGATCTTTGCCTCGGAAAGGGTAAACTTTTGTGTGTACTATGTCCAAGCGGTATGAACTTTGGCTTGTTTTATATTAGTGTGGTATTTGTGACTTATTGCAGCATGTCCATGCATGGAGATTCCATGAAATAACAGGAATACTGGTCAAAGTGGTGTTAAACCCAACTCACTCACTCACTCTATGCATGGAGATATCCTGCCTGTTTACATTTGTCTCCCTTTAGTCTTGCATCAACTAAAGCAGAACATTGAAAGTCGGACTCATTTATCAAGTAAAGTCTGTTTAGATAAGACATTGTATACGGTTACATAAGTTTTTTCCTGTGATATTCCACAATGATGATTTCCTGTGTTTGTATGTAAAGAATCACAAATTACAGGGCTACAGATAAGGGACATACAGGCGCAATGTGCACCTAAAAATCAATGAAGTATGACAGTGTTCATTTTGAGATATATATATTCTATGGCAACGGACTGGTTTACCAAGCAATATTTCTATAAACCAAAACCTAAGTAGATAATGCCCAATAACAGACTTCTATTTCTTAATTGGTGTAGTAAGATGGACAGGGCTTTGTTGCTGCATCAATGAATGTACAGTTATTTAAGAATCAACATCAGTATGTTATTACATTTATGGCAGGAGTAAAATCCTCTGTGTACACCATGCATAAATATGCTAGGCAGGTTGAAACTGTATGCACACCTGGTTTTTGTATGTACCTCCATAAATGCAAGACATATTGGCATCAATTTCTAAATACATGTTTTGTGCGTTTTGGGGACAACCTTTATCAATACATATGTAACAATGAATTTTCATACATATATAACATTTTAGTCTTCTTGTATTTGACAGAAAGTTGTGATCATTGACCTTGGCAGCACGTCGGTACGAGCCGGTATACTGGGTGACAAAGGTTGGTATACAATGTGTACATGTCATTCATTTAATTAATTACCCAAAACTATGCATACATTGTTGAAGATGGCAAAGTTGTACTGACAATAGACGACCAACTCCACAGCAGGACCCCCTACATACTAAGGGAGATAATTCAATGTTATTCCACTCTGTAGAGTTTTCTAAATTCCTTAAACTTTGAATGACAGCAATGATGAAGCTGTTTCACACACCAAAATGTTAGTTCAAGAGACACATCAACATTTCTAACCATGTTTGTTTTGTTCCTTAATCATTAAATTTTAGGGATAAAAAATTTATTTAATGAACATTAAGTTCATGGAAACATCGCAACAAACCAGGCTGCAAACATTGCATAGATCAGTGAAATTGTATTTCTAACTCTGTTTCTAAAGATACTTTCATCAGTGAATTTACTTAACAAATATTTTTTGGACATGATCATCCAGATAAGATTTGGGGTACTGCTGAATGTGAAAATGAATGTTGAGTGGATATTTCATTTTCCGTTACCCATAGATCACTGAAATTTACTATTTCTAACTCAAACCAACTTAAATATAATGGACATGATTTCTAAAAATCATATCTTACTCATCAACTTGATAGTGAATTCTACTTTTTATAAATATATTTTTTATTTTAAACTTTTATGATCTATATGATAAAGATTATTATTCTTAAGTGTTTTTGAATGATAAATATTTGCATGTAACAGATGTTCTTAACAAACTTCTTTAGTCTTGTATATTAGTGTGTAGTGTATGAATGAATTAATATGAATTGTTACATATTAACAATTGTTTTAAGCATGTCTCTTTGTGGACTTCACATGACCACAAAGTAATATATTCGTATATATATTTCCGTATATTTTTTACTTTTAAAATGATTGCCTGTATTTTCTTCCCCAGCAACCCTGCCCATGTTGTTCTTCCCAAGTGTTGTTGCAGTCCACAAAACAACAGATGAGTTGGTTGTTGGAAGCGACGCCTACAAGCCAAGCGTCCGGCTCCAGTCCGTCATCTCGCACCCCATCAGCCCTTCCAACAAAGTCGACAAGGTGAGTGTTTACGCGAGGAGGAAGGGCATGGTCATGTAGTAGGCTAGTGTTTGTTTGTGTGAGGGGTGGGGCAGGGTGGGGTGGGGCTAGGTTTCCAGTAGTGAATTGTCACAAACACCTCTGGTGAAGGGTTAGGATTTCTTTTTGCACCAATCTTCTTTGAATTTTCTTTTCTATTTTTATTTTTAATGTATATTTTATATCCCAATTTAATATGTAAGTCATTATGGGACATCCACATTAAAAATAAAATACTTTTATATTAATTTGATGTCAGTTTTAGATACAGTATAAGATAAGGTTAAGCTTGAATTATTTGTGAAAAATTGTTATGTGATTTATCATATGTATTTATGAACTAACAATTATAGCTAATATACTAACTCCATATAATGGATTCTAATATACCTCAGATATGAGCCCAGAGAGGTGAGGTGAGGTGGGGTGAAATTGGGTTTAACGTCGTTCTTGAGAATATTTCGCTCATATGACGAGGTGCATGCGTGTGTATGTGTATGTGCGGCTGCTTGTACTAGCCCAGACTGAAGCTGGTTTTATAGTGCTAGCCCACTGAGATACCATGCCGCAGTGAAGCATGAATACCCCAGTCAGACACATTATACTGACTCCGAATCCTTGTTGTACCCATTAATGCGAGCGCCAGGCAGGGACCAACAAATACCATATTTTAACGTCTTTTGGTATGACGCGGTCGGGGATCGAACCCGCGACCTTCCGCTCTCCGGGCGGACGCTCTAACCACTACACCACGGAGGCGGTCAAGAGAGAGGTTATGTAATGGTTGGTAGAGAAAATAAATACTGTTGTACTAAGTGAGTGAATGTTGTTGTAGACCACTCTCACCAACACTACAGCTATATTATGACAGGTAAATAATATGTCTGAGCCAGTTGATCAAGGGATTGATAGTGTGAGCAGCGACTGACATTGTAATTACGTGATGACAGTAAACTCGATATATCGTAACTACCATATACCTGTTTGAAGTACAAGCTACATGGTTCCTATACTACTCTTGTAGATGGTCTGTGTTGTGTGCTTCTCGTTGATGTGTAGTTTTATATTTAAGTGTGGGCTTATATCTGAGAAATTGTGTTATTTGTCAAACAATAATACTGCTGTACTAGAAGGGCCTGCATCTATGCAACAATCTGCCACATGATGTACTAATGTCACCCAGATATAGTATATAATATTCACTCATCTCATACATCATATTCGTCACACATTGTCAATGATGACACAACTTGTGTTATTTAAGAATGCACCAGAATTATTCTCATCATGAAAATCATGATTTCACATAAGCACATGTTGAACTGTTATTTTTCTTTCCATGCACATGGTCAGTTGATTCCTAGTTTTTAATCTTCTGTATGGTTTTTCATTTATTTATTTAGTGATGTAAAACCTAAAATGTTGCACTGTGAACATATACCACTCAATAAAGTTAAGGAACATCCAAGTTTTTCACATGACTATAGTAAACCTGTCTCACCATGATTAACTAATAGTTATGTGAAAACCTTGGCTGTTCTTGACTTCTTTGAGTAGTGTATATGCAGGAATGATAAAACTCTTCAATGTTTTTGATAAAAACTGGAGTTATGAAAATTGGTTTATTTGAAAACTGAAAATAAAAAGAATTGAACAGGTTTGTGTTGCACTTTGACAGACCTGTTTTTATGTTTTTACTTTTTGGAAGTTTCATCAAATAAAACATGTAGTAACATTTCAGGTTTTACGTCTAAGTATTACATGGTCATTGTCTTGTCTTGAACACACTTGATAATAATATTTCTGCATTGGGTTTTAATTTCAAAATATGGAAATCAGGTGAAAAGCACAAATTCTGCTTTCAAGCACAAATAATTCGCACAGTGATAATTCACTAAATTTGGATAGTTTCACTAACAGCTGTCGGATAGGATCAGAAAATGCTGATTGTTGATTACAGAATAAAGATGTATTTATCTGAAGTTCATAAATATTTGTTGATTCATAATTTATGTGCGTTTGTTCAGTCAGATTGTAGTATAGGATCTTGCTTTTATTGTAGAACATGTAAAGAAATAATGTATATAATTATTTCATGAAGGACATGAACACTTCTAGTATTAATACATTATGATCTCTTTTATCACTTGAAATAATTGATACCCTTTGATATTATTGGAGTCAGACCAGATTAATTTCCATTTTTCACATTCTCTCTGTCAACATGCCCATGGCCAAATTTGAAACATTTTCATTGATGATTTGAGGTTAATTTCTTAGATCAGGCCAGACCAATTTTGTTTCTTGTTTTACAGATTTTTGTCCTCATTAAACCTAAAGGGAGGAGGGAGAAAATATTTTAAAAATCATGAGTCAAAGTAATATTCCTTTTAAATACAAAATGTATTTTACTTAGGGCAATTTATGAAGTGTATATGGGGGAAAAACAATCTAAAAAAATGTTCATGTAAGTTTACATTTTTTGGCTAAAAATTAGGATTTTAATTTTTGAGCAGGGAAAATTAATTATATTTTTTCTTATTCTTGAAAAAATATGATCGGTGGACCCGTAAAACAAGAAATAAAATTGGTCTGGCCTCATAAAATAAATGAATTACAAATGAATAATGAAAAACATAGCAAGTACAAAACAAAGAATTTAAAATTGTACTTTTATTGGAATAAGCAGGAAATTATAATGGTCTCGCTTCATTAGTGATGTGACATAGAAGACAAGGCAATGTGTAGTGATGTAGCTGTTTGTTTCTGAGTATCCTTGTTGTTGACTTGTTTGTTTCTGCGTTCTGTTTCTAGGATCACTGTATTCTCCCTGTAAGTTGCATGCCAAGCAGGCTCACAGCGCCGAGCAATGATAAGACTCTTCTCATTACTTTACACCAGAACACCTTTGCCACCACCTTGACCAGGCAGTTGCCATGGTTACCTCACGGCAAATAATATACCTGTGTTGTGAATGATCATGTTGAAAATCTTTAACTCCCACATGATATCTCTCCAATCGATGATCTGATGATCTTTTGCAAGTTTTATCTGTCAACCTTTGTAAACTTTGAAAGATGAATCAAAATGAAGGAGACATAGGTTCTTGAACCAATTCAATCTCAGGGCCTAGATTTTCGAAGCTCTCTTAGCGGTAAGATAGTCGTAAGTGCCATACATTAACATTAAATTATCTTGGCGCTAAGAGAGCTTCGAAAATCTAGGCCCAGGTCTTTAAAATCAGAATCAGAAATTTCGATCCTAATGAAAGAAAACCCACAGACAACACAGATATTGCTTTGATGATAGTTCTCAGAAGGGACATACCAACCACCCCAATCTAACAAAAGAATGCACGGTTCTAAAGTAATAATGTCAGTGTTTGAAAATGATTCAGATTGATTTCTTAAAAACCTTTGGATCAGGAATTTGGATTGTTACAAAGGAAAACCCACATTGAACACAAATATTCCTGGTATTCCCTTTTGCCATTGTGTTCTGAAAGACGTCAAACCTGCTCTTGGAACACAGGTGTATATTCTGCCATGGGTGTAGTGTAAACCTTGCCGTTTCTGTGTGATGCACGGAGATTTTTATCAGTCAGTTATCTAATCGTCAAAATATTGTTCTGAGGTCTTCAATTCATCATGTCATTACACATTTGTTTCATGTTATTTCCATATCATTGAGGTGGCATGCCTTGCTTCAGTCTTATACTCATGCTATATGTTTATACTCCCTATGAATAAATACTCATATTATCCATCAGCTATATTGCCTCATTACTCCATGTTGGAGGATGTGCTTCATCAGTGATTGACTCTCACAATGTAACAATTTATCCCTGTAATCGCTTATCTATTGGTGTAAATCTTGATCATTTTCCTGATATTTGGCAGAAATGTTTTAAGAGTAATTTGTAAACATCTTATATAGTTATAAAATTAAGATTTGAATTTTTGTGATTGTTGAATTCAGATTTTGATTATTATTTCAGTTCAACATTGACAGCAAACAGATGCCAGCTGTGTTTGACAAGATCTTTAAAGATCTTGGTGTCAACCCCTCACAGTATATGGTAAGGCTTCTTACTAATAGCACCTGTGAAGATCCGGGTAGAAAAGGTCTTCAGCAACCCATGCTTGCCACAAAAGGCGACTATACTTGTCGTAAGAGGTGACTAACGGGTTCGGGTGGTCAGGCTCGCTGACTTGGTTGACACGTCATCGGTTCCCAATTGCTCAGATCGATGCTCATGCTGTTGATCACTGGAATGTCTGGTCCAGACTCGATTATTTACAGACCGCCGCCATATAGCTGGAATATTGCTGAGTGTGGTGTAAAACTAAACTAACTCACTCACTCACTCTTAATAATAGTAGTAATAATAATAAATATCAATTTGTATTGGGCCTTTTTTTTTTGCAAGGAGACTGACGCGAGCCCAAACTAGGTCACAGTCCATTTCAGCAGAATGTTGCCAAATGTTCATAATTGTGTACCATCTTCTTTAAAAAGGGTTTATTTGTTCCCTTGCAGGGTTTCACTGTTTTATAAGTTATAGTTAGAAAAAAATTGACAGGTTTTCGCTGTTTTGTATCCAACAGCAGCCACCCTGACCTTCTGACACGAGTAGGCTAAATCGACACATTTGCGATCTATTCAATATGTGATTGTACTCGTTGAAAATAAACAAATCTTTACAAGGGGTTGTGATTAATAAAAACTCGCCACCAAACAAATTTGGAAACTGTTGAATTTTGTTTTTCATACCGTTTTCTACAGTACTATATTGTGGTTTGTATGCGATTCCATTAAGCTTGAGCAGTTTGGTTTCATCCGCGCATTAATACAGATCAGCTGATTTAGTTGTAAACACTTACATACGAAGATGCTGCTTTGAGTTCATAAATACTAGTTTCTTGGTTTAATTACAGAATGGGTAATAAATAGAAAAACCCACAATATACGAATGATAAAGATTGAAATATGTCCCGAGTGAAATTAATGTTCACTTGAAAATTCATTTCACGAGGGACGTATTTCCTGCAATCACTTGTACCTCGTGGGTTATTCTCTAATTATTATGCAGCTGCTATTACCACAGAACTTCTTAGCGTTAAGAATTCCCATTCCTTAACATACATTTACTCCAGATGTAGCTATTTAGATCAGTTTGGAATTTTCAAAACCTATTTTATTAAAGGTCATGCTGACCTTCAAGCAAATGTAATTTCCTAATTAGATCAAGCTGTATTCCTTTGAGGAATATTTTTGGGGGCATTTCTGATGAATATTTAAACATGCAGGCTCCAATTAAATAAGCAAAAACAGCGTTTATGTTCTTGATTAAATTGTGTTTTTCACCCAAAGTGATGCAGGTTTCACCCAGGTTTGAAGTGGACAAGACAGAGTAGCTACGTAGCATGAGCAATAAGATGCTGAATATTTGGCTTATATTATTTGGCCTTGATAAGATAATGATTGGATTCTCTTTGTCTTTACAAGACAATTTTTATTGTCCCTAACTATAGCCAAAAATGAGTGTGTTCCCTTTTTAGCTCACCTGAAAAGTTTTGTTCTTGATATGTTTGTTTTCACAAACTTGAGATGAACAAAAACATGTGCTAGAAATTTGGTTTAAATAAATTTTCCATTGGAAGATAAATATTTGATTTTCAGTATCAGTAAATATGTATTTATCATGACCTGTTTTAAGAAACTTTGACATGCTTTTTGTCATCAGTAATGACAACCAAGTATTTTCAAGAGGTTGGAATCTGATTTTCAATATGGATGCCAAGGCAGCCATGTTAGGCAAGCTAGATCCTCTGTACATCATGACCCATGGCTGTCAATTGGTGAGATAGATGCTACAATGGCTGCTGAGGGTGACAGTGAAGTTAAAATGTAACTTATGCCTACCTAACTACCGGTAAGCACATTGATTGCACTCAACTATCCAGCCAGCCAGCCAGCCAGCCAGCCAGCTAGCCAGCCAGGGATCCACCCACCCATAAATCCACCCATAAGTCCATCCATCCATACACATATCCATCCATATCCACCCACCCATCCATCCACCCACCATCCAACTACCCATCCATCCATCTACCTATCCATCCATCCCACCAACCATCCATCCACCCATCCCACCATCCAACCACCCATCCCACCATCCATCTATCAACCATCCAACCATCCACCCGTCCGTCCATCCATCCACCCACCCATTCATCCGTCCATCCTTCCATCCACCTATCCATCTATCCATCCACACATCCACCCACCCACCCTATCCACATTCATCCACACCACCATCCACACATCCACCCACCCGTCTATCCACACATCCACCCACTCACTGGCTGACGTATCTACAGGTGATGATCAGCACCCCACAGAGTCTCGGAGACAACCTGCGGAAGAGCCTGATGGAACTGTTGATGTCACGTCACCAGGTGGCAGGGGTGTGCATGGTGCAGCAGTCACTTCTCTCCCTCTACTCCTACAATGCCACGTCTGGCATCATCGTCGACATTGGGGAGAGGATAGAGATCTTGCCCATATTTGATGGTAAAGTTAATAAACAGAATACTTCAGTTCCTGGTATTAGGTTCCTGCAAACACATCACATGGCATGTTGCTATTCTTTGAATCAATTTTTGTAATTTTCAGCCTCTCAAACCTCATTGCCAGTGAAGCTAAATATTACACCAGTCATTGTCTCACTTGGATTATGTCGCACTGATTCTATTGGCTGTGCCTGGAATATGTTAATAATAAGAATGGTTGATAACAACGGTAAATAAAGAGGACAGATACAATGGTGGGTAGAATTGTTTTTAGAATGGTAGATAACTGTGGCAAGTAATGATGGTAGATAACAATGGTTCACATCAATGATTGGCATATAACAATAGTTAAATAAGAATGGTAGATAACGATGGTATATGACAACGGTTGAAGAGAATGGTCGATAGCTATCACTGATAAGAATATTAATGGCAGATAGCAATGGTAGCCAACAATGGTTTATTAAGGGTTGATGACAATGGTAGAAAACTATGGTTGACCAGAATGGTAGGTAACACTGTTGAGAAGAATGGTAGATACTGCTGGTTGATGACAGTGGTAGGTAACAATGGTTGGTGATGCTTGATCTGTATCCCCTGCCAGGCTTTGTCATCGAGGGTGGGATGGCCCGTCTCCCGTACGGAGCCCAGAAGGTTCAGGACACGCTGCTGCTCTCCCTCCTAGCCAACAACTACAAGTTCTCCTCGTCTGTGGAGAAACTCCTCGTCAGATACGTCATGGAGAAGGTAGGTCAAGGTCAGGCAAGATGGAGATGGGTTTGGTTTCAGAGTGACAGCATGCCGAGGTACACCACACACGCATCTATTTATAGATGTATGAGGATATCATATCACCATCACCTGTTGCATTTTACCATAAGAATTGCTACAGCTACACATATTGTATATGTACAGAATGATTGAAGTTCATGGATGCCAAGTACTTCTTTCCTTTACAAGTTCTAAGGAGGCCAGTCTTGGTTTTGACAAGTTGCTCTTATTATTTATAGAGAAAGTGGGGTAGCCCAATGATTAAAGCATCAACTCATGGACCCAGGTTCGATTCCCCTCATGGGTACAGGGTGTGTTGCCCATTGCTGGTGTCCCCTGCCATGATACTGATGGAATATTGCTAAAAGTGGCATAAAACTAAACTCACTCACTCACTCCTGCTGTGTGTGTTCCCAGAGCTGCTATGTCGCCCAGAACTACAAGGAGGAGGTCCAGCGGTGCCAGATGTCCCCATACTCCATCAAGACCACCACCAACCTCGACAACTTCAACCTGCCGCCAGAAGCTTACAAGTGAGGGACATCCATGCTGCTTGTCATAAAATTACTCATGATTGAATGTCAATTGTTAAAATGTATTATTACTTAATCTGTGTTTCAAGAAGTGTGTCTGGAACTTTTTTTACAAATTTTGTTTATTGTATTGAGAAGTTAGTTTTGTGTTCTGTTTAATGTCATAATCAGCAATATTCCAGCTATATGGCGGCAGTCAACATCATATTCATGTTTTGCCATTGAAACTTTGTACTTAAATCTAGGAAGACAGGTGAATTTGAGGTTTTTAGATGCTTGTTTGATGATTAGATAGCAGCATTTGTATAAATTTGTTGCATGCAAGATTTATTGCAATATTTTACACAACTTGGGAGTAGGTTTTCCCATGGAACAGTGGAATAGTGTTCTTACTAAGTGTAAATGTGAATCAAGTGACAAATGTTTTGATGTTTCTCAAGGAGTGTGACCCATGATGACAGTCGGTTCCGGAGTCCGGAGGGGCTGTTTGACACAGACATGTGGGAGATGGACTTCCCCAACCTCCACAAGCTGGTGTTCCAAGCCATACAGGCATGTCCCATGGACAGTCGCAGGCGAATGTTCAGGTGAGTTGATTAACAGTCACAGGTAGATGTGGGGTGGTAGGGTATCCTAGCGGTGAAAGCGTTTGCTCGTCATACTGAAGACCCAGGTTCGTTTCCCCATTTGAGCACAATGTGTGAAGCCCATTTCTGGTGTCCCCTGCTGTGATATTGCTGGAATATTGCTAAAAGTGTCGTAAAACCAATCTCACTCACAGGTAGATGTGCAGGTGAGTTGATTAACAGTCACAGGTAGATGTTCAGGTGAGTTGACCACTGTCCCTGAAGTACAAAGGCCATATGTGTAAATCTTTCACTTGATAGTATTTGTTTTTGTGAGAAGGTAAGATTCACATCGACTTTAAGCAGCAATCCAACAATTTTAATGCACATGACACTGTTTGTATCTAATATTTTCAATGTATCTAAGTGGGAATTAGTTACAAATTTTCATTTTTCCAGCAAATGGTTTCCCCCTCAGGCTTCAGACTGGATGTAGGAATGGCTCAGTCTTATTACTCTTTGTATTGTCAGGAGTTTAGGTGTATGTCAGTTGTTCATTGGCCAATACTTGCCATTGTATTCCAGGGCTGTCTACCTGAGTGGTGGCGTGACCATGATGCCAGGATTCACAGACAGATTACAACACGAGCTGATGAAACTAGCACCACCTAGTGTCCCCGTAGAGGTGGGTCATTTAGCCTCAGTGTCATCATAAACTTGTGCACTAAGTCTGATGTATACTACTTCAAGAGTTCTCTCCCTTTGACCTATATCCACATCTACCATTTGCTTACTGTCTCAAGAAACACACAAATAATTTTGAAAAGATCAAACAACTTTATTATTATTGAAAAGGAGTTTCAGTAAGATGAGATGATGTGAACCAAGGGAAAATCTAGACTACCTTTGTGTTGGGCTATAGAATTATATACAGAAAGGGTGAGAAAAATTGATGACTTTGTCTTCTTGTTATTATTGAAAAGGAGTTTCAGTAAGATGAGATGATGAGAACCAAGGAAAATATAGAATGATCTAGTGACTTTAATCTTAATTTGTTGCAATTTTTTAGATAAATATTTGTTTCTGGACATATTTCTACGTTTGTTTATCTCTGTGACAGGTTCATGCTGCGCCTCAGCGTTACCATGCAGCGTATGTTGGAGCGTGTGCAGTGGCTGGGATGGCGGAGTTCGAACACATGTGTATATTACGTGAAGAATGGCGGGACCACGGTGTCAAGGCTTTCAGGAAGTGGAATGCTCCATCGTCTTAGCCTCATTATAACATCATAACATTCTTGGAGACACATGAAGTAATCCTTGTGAGGTGCTGGAAGTGTACAACCTGACACCCCTGGGATATGTGGATTAATATTGTAGGGGTGTGGATCTGTACTACCTTACATCTTTCAGATTCATGGAATATTCCTGTGAGTTTGAGAATATGTACAACCTGACACCCCTCAGATACATGGTATATTCCCATGGGTGTGTCAATGAATACAGCCTGACATCCCTCCAATATGTGGAATATTCCTGTAAATCTGTACAACCTGACACCCCATAGATACATGGAATATTCCTGTGGGTTTGTGGCTGTACAACCTGACACCCCTCAGATACATGGAACGCTCCAGTTAATGAATGAGCAGACGGAAGTTTCTGTTTCATATGCATGTATGTATCAAAACAATTGTATAAGTTTGTAATTTATTTAAAATTGTATTATATTTATGCATACACAGAATGAATAGTATGTCAGTGAGTGGTTAGTATGGGTACATGTATGTATATGCTTATTTGGACTGTCACTGGACATCTAAACATCAATGTATATGGGAAAATCGATACCAATTTTGTGTAAAGGCTTAAAAGGATAAGTCTCCAAAAATGTATTCCAACCACAGTGCTGATCAAAATGTATGTATCATTGACACTTTGGTCAAAAGTTTGAATCTAAAATGCCATTTTTTAACTTTTTGATGAACATATTCACAAGACTTAAGTATGTTGTTCATTTTGAGAAATTGGTTATAATTAGGGTTGGGTATTGCCAAAATTTTCGTATTGCGATATGTTGTGATATGTGTTGGCGTATTGCAATATGTATTGCAATATATTGTGAAAGTGTAACACAAGGTTTAAGGTAATGAAATTACTGTTTCCTTTCTTTTGAAACAATGACACTGACCACTGTCAGGACTTAGATGTGATTGTACAAGAGATCAATTGAACAGGTTTCCAAACTGAAGGCTTCACTTTGGAACTACAGAAAGAGATTCTGTATGGCGTCTGCCATTTTGGTTTGTTCACCCCTACAACGAGTGCCGGTACCAATTCTATTTTGTTTTATTCATATGGTTTATAAGTCACGCAAATGAAATTATACAACCAATAAACATTCTCAAAACTATTAATGTATAATAATATAAAGGATATACAAATGTTATTAGTATATTATTACTACATCACGAAAATTACCGATCATGGTCATGGAAATTGCTGATGGTATCGGGTGAACCGGTTCGCGAAAAGTGTACCGCAATATATCGTATTGTGAAGTTCGAATTGCAATATACCAGTTAACTGGTATTATCGCCCATCCCTAGTTATAATACTCGCCACCATTAATTAATATATATGTTAGGATGTGAAAACTTCCAGCCAATGACAGCCCTAATGTGGCTATATATCTGCAGATTTGAGTGTAGGAAGTTGACAATGTGTGCCAGATAGTCCAGTTGGTTGTGTGTTAGTTGGTGATGTGCAAGATTAACATTTAATTCCCACGTCAAGTCATGCAGAAAGTAGCGTCAAACTAAACTTTATACTTTCTAACTGATATTTGCAGTTTTAATTTTTATTGCCACTGACCAATATTTTGTATATTTGAGGGTCCTGTTTTATGTGTAAATAACTGATGTGGCTAAACAGCAATGTGATGCCAGGCCAATATTACGATATGTCCGAGACATGGAGAGAAAGTAACCAAACTCATTGGCTCTTGTATTGCTCAAGTGTAATTAGTTAAAGCATTTTGTGTGAGAAGGCTGAGTTTGCAACCATATTCTGCCAAGCCTGCCCATTTTGAGTTGAAACATTCCAGTGTTTTCATGTTGAGATTTGATAGCACAGGTGGTCCTGTGATGCAGTTCACTATGTAGAGTTGTGTCCGTTTGTTTCAGGATCCATGAGTTTGAATCTTAAACCTGAAATATAACTGTCCATGAATTTCACTTTGGGCTTGATCCCAGATTAACTGACGTATCATAGTGTAACAGAAATACTTGCATAAATCTACATTCACTTTCTCACTTTGGTGAGGTGGGCAAGGTGTCAGATTCTCATCAAATTATCTCTGGTTTGAATCCAAGGTCACCATTGAACTGGAGCCCCAAAGTTTCAGTTCCTACACATATGTTTATGAACCAGGATGAGAAGGACGGGGATGTGTGTCATGCCTGGGAGACTTTTATAACATACATTTGTCATTTCATCTCACTGTAACTACCATTTCTGTCTTGTACATAATCAAAGAATGTTGTGTGTGTATTTATGTCTTTGTACATTGAAAGTTGACGTCTCCCAGTGGGTACCTGCAGCTAATGAGAGGGAGCTTGTGGATGTATTTCTTTAAGTAGCGTTTGTCTATTTTCCATTCCTCTGTCAGTGGAATTGTGTGGGAGTTTTATTAACGGTCAGCGGGTGTGTCAACACTGATGGTCGGATTTTATTTTAAGGTTGTCTTTGATATTCCCTCAAAGACATTTTGCATGAGTCACCATTATCAAGAAATATTCTAAAAGGTACCTAAACTTCATCATGTACTGCAATCTTGACATTTTATATTTATCAATAATATTTTCTTATTCTCTCATTTTGTTTACTCTTCTCACCTGTCCCTTCATTACTCTTATTAACTGAAACAAAATATTACGATACTAATTTTTGTTCGGTACATAACGTAAGTGAAGACAGGGTATCTTTAATCTAACAACTTCACTCTACTGATATGTTTCCCTTGCTGTGTTATATAACAAAATTACATCTCATGACGGTAAGGTGGGCCTGGAGTTAAAGTGCTTGCTTACTTGAACGAGACTTGGTTCCTCCGAACCATTGTGGATACAAGTAACAGATTCATCCTCCTATTTCATGGTTGTTGGCACCGTACTGTTGGAATAAACCGAAGTACTAAATGCCAAGGATGTGCAGCAAGTCTTGCATGATGCTGAAAAGCCATGTTTTAAGTGAAATACTTTTCAAAGTTGTGTTACAAAATCACTTTTTCTCCAAATAAACATCATTCTGATATTTGCCACTGATAGTCTTAGCAAGAGCTTGTGTGGTTTATACTACTCATAACAAGTAAAGACTACACATTCTGTCATACTGGTAATATGAAGGATTGAAGTGTTCTTAACTACTCTTGAGTTATACAAGCTTTTCAGTGGGTAGACCAGCAGTGTGATCAGTGAATGATACAATATTGCAATATTATTATCTGATATTATTACACATGCATTTATGATTTAATCGGCAATTTTAATACATTTTAGATATACGTTGATTGGCTTTTCTTATGCACCAAACCAACAGCTGAGAGTGTACTTTGTACAAACTTTTACATATATGATAGTTGTCACAATGAATGAGAGCATTTCGAAATGCGGCATTGTATCAATCGATGTACAGAAAGATGTACTGTCAATATTATTGTACTTCAGAAATGAATGTATCTAAAAAAATGAAATAAAGATACTTGGTTGTAATAGTAATACAACTGATATAATTATATTTTAAATATTTCATCATGTAAAGTCTCTATGATTAAGAGACTGTGAAGTATGGAATCTCTGCCTGTGAAATACTCCAAGTTGTGTTCAAGTGAGAGATGAACAAGTCATTTTATGAAGCTTCTATCAATATCGATAACATGCTCTAGATGCCCTGAAATTTTCTGGTTAGAGACAGGGATTTCCTTAACAGATTCTGGATGTGTGTTCCATGATAGAGTATGCGAATGCTGTGGGTGAAGATTTTTCAGCCAGAACTTCTAACTTTTCAAAATGCAATAGTTCATAGTTTTACAACTGTTTGAATTACATCTGTTATATACATGGTGTGTTAATCAACATTTCAGACAAGCATTATTTCCACCTAATGCCTTTGTATCCTGTACCCATTTCACCAAGGAATCGTAGTAGTATAAATGTCGTGGATTGCTTTGTGTCATTCATCTTTGGTGTTTATTCAATAGTTATTTGAAGTGACAAAATACAGGGGAAAGACCCTTCATATATAGCTCCATCTCTTTTCATTTACCTCATAAAGGTCAAGTAGCTCTTAAATGGCATCAAAAGAATAAAAAGTTGTTTTCAATACAAAATACCATGTATACATGTTCCTTGAACATTTTAATGCCTGTCAAAGAATACATGATTGCTATGAATGTTGAAATAGTCTCAAGTTCTTTAATTCATGTCATTGTTTTTTGTTTTTAATTCTATATTCTGTATCTATAGAACAATAATGTTTGATTGGATATCAAAACATTCATGATATATTCGGTTGTAATAGATGTGATCTCTCCACACCTGTATTTATCCAAAGTAATAATTTGGAAATATATACACGAACATTTCACCTCAATTAAATCATTTAAAAAAATCATATTTATGTAAAACATGATATATGTTATATATATTTCACTATTAGAAATACACTAATGTTTCTAATACACCATGCACCTTTCTGTCTTCCCTTGTTGAAAAATATTTTATTCTTCGTATTCTTATAAACGGTATCCTTCTTACTCAAGATTGCTAAAGAAAATGTCCCTGTGGCAATCAGACACAAGTGTTTGAATATTATTGTAAAACATACTTTGAAATGATGTTATTTAAGGGGCTAGGGGTAGCCTTATGGTTAAAGTGTTCACGCATCACACTGAAGGTAGGTTTGAAGTTTACATGGGTACATTGAAACCCATTTGTGCTGGATTAAAACCATATTCACTTGTTATTTTGGATGGTTTCCCAGTGATATCAGCCTGATTAACACATTTCTGGATTAAATATTCATTGGTGCAAAATGATTGATGATATTTAAGGAGTTTCTGGGTAATCAAGGTCGACACTGACAAGGGTACACATTATACACAGCAGTGTGTCATAACTACATATACCAACTGTCTCAGTGTTGAAGAGAGGCAGCACTATAATTATCTTTATCTAGTTACCAAAATTATAGCAATACATAGACACTATGTTTCCAATGTACACACTTGATAATCCACACTGATCTTTGTGATGTGGGGATAAGGGATAGACAGTCCCTGCTGCAGTGATTGTTATAAGAACAACTAAATGTGTATTGTTTGATCACAATGGCTCACCAATGTGGTCAGTTCTTGAATCTGAAACAAACTCACAGCTTAGCCGTGGCTGACGGATGTCTATGCAGGAATATCCTTAGAAGCCATTATTGGGTCCCCAACCTCCAACAAATGTTAGTCAATTGCCAAACTGGGATAAATATTTTACTTTACTATGGTTATGAATGTGTGGCATGCTGAAATGATTAGTTCACAGGACCAATGCAGAGGAAGAAGATTTTATGTTTAGTAATAACTTTTTGCTGTAAATTCGGATTGAAATACCTATTTAATTTAGAACTATACAAACAAGCCCTATTTTGAACAAAATAACCTCTTACTAAGAGCAATATTTTGAATCCATGTTGAATAGATCCACTACAAATAAAGTGTTCAAAGGTGAGTCAAGTCCAACTCGCACACTACTCTTGACAGTTAATGCAATGTCAATTATTAACTCTTTTCACAATATGTTGAACCTTGTTTTTGTTAATTCTGTCTGCTTTGTACCTTCTGTCACAACATTCATGCTGTTCTTGGAATTTCTGAAAAATAGTCGTAAAACTTGTTAAGGTTCTCTGGAGGGCCTATACATTAATTAATAGATTGTCATTAACATTTATGAAGGTTTGGTGAAATTGTATCAAGTTTCTTCTGTCAAGTAAAAGGAAAAGAGAACACATTGATGTTCATTGTCTGGGACTGTAAAATGATGTGATGTGGGGTGTTTGGAAGGGAGTTAGGAAATTGTGGTAGCCAATTGACAGTGATGAAAATCTAGTAATTAATTTATGGCCTGAAAGAACATCATGAATCTTTTGAAACTATAATTTTGTCTGACTGACTGCAGTAGGAGTTTTATATGTTGTGATTACAAATGTGTTTGTTTTATGAAGCTTTTCAGTAAAGTTAAGACTATGAAAATATTGCAGCTGTCTGGTATAAAAGCCTTAGTGTCTGTGTGTGATTGTATGGGTGCTTCAAACATGTGTGATGGTGTGTCTCTCCACGTTAACACTTCAATGTGCACAAACTCCTGGTGAATCAACCAGAGCAGGACAATGTCTACTAATCATGAATATGTTCTGGTATTTCTGTGATTAATTGTATTTACCTGTACACTGATTGATCGCTGATTAAAGTACTCAGTTGTACCTGCGTCTGTTTCCATTTTCTTGATGCTGATTTGGTAACTATGTGAAATTACCTTGATGGTGGTACCTGGGTGGATTTGCCTGGACAGTGGTACATGTGTGCAGGTGCACTGAGGGTGGTACCTGGGTGGATTTGCCTGGACAGTGGTACTTGTGTGCAGGTGCACTGAGGGTGGTACCTGGGTGGATTTGCCTGGACAGTGGTACATGTGTGCAGGTGCACTGAGGGTGGTACCTGGGTGGATTTGCCTGGACAGTGGTACTTGTGTGGAGGTGCACTGATATGGTGATACCTGGGTGGATTTGCCTGGACAGTGGTACATGTGTGCAGGTGCACTGAGGGTGGTACCTGGGTGGATTTGCCTGGACAGTGGTACTTGTGTGCAGGTGCACTGAGGGTGGTACCTGGGTGGATTTGCCTGGACAGTGGTACATGTGTGCAGGTGCACTGAGGGTGGTACCTGGGTGGATTTGCCTGGACAGTGGTACATGTGTGCAGGTGCACTTATGGTGCACTAAGGATTTGGTGGTACCTGGGTGGATTTGCCTGGACAGTGGTGGTATGTGTGCAGGTGCACTGAGGAGTGTGGTATGGACAGGTGGACTTTGCCTGGATGCACTGATGGTGATACCTGTGTGGATTTGGTGCACTGAGGGTGCAGGTGCACTGGTGATACCTGGGTGGATTTGCCTGGACAGTGGTACATGTGTGCAGGTGCACTGAGGTGGAGTGGTACCTGGGTGGATTTGCCTGGACAGTGGTACATGTGTGCAGGTGCACTGAGGGTGGACAGTACCTGGGTGGATTTACCTCCTGGAGGACAGTGGTACATGTGTGCAGATGCACTGAGGGACAGTGGTACCTGGGTGGATTTGCCTGGACAGTGGTACTTATGTGCAGGTGCACTGAGGTGTGGTACCTTGCTGGATTTGCCTGGACAGGATTTGCCTACAGTGCCCTTGTTCTATATGGAGGAACAGATGTCGTGCTTGTTGTACTATTTGGAGGAACAGTGTTCTTGTTCTATGTGGAGGAACAGACTGTCCTTGTTCTATATTGAGGAACAGATAACTTTCTTGTTCTACATGGAGGAACAGACTGTGTCCTTGTTCTATATAGAGGAACAGATAACTTTCTTGTTCTACATGGAGGAACAGACAGCGTTCTTGTTCTATATGGAGGAACAGAGAGTGGGCTAGTTTTATATGGAGGAACAAATGGCCGTGTGCTATATAGAGGAACTCACAGAGCACTTGTTCTGTTTGGAGGAACAGACTGTCTTTATGTTCTATATGTGAGGAACAGACATAAACAGACTTCTTGTTCTATATGGAGAAACAGACTGTGTGGAGGAACTTTGTCCTTGTTCTATATAGGGGAACAGATAGCTTTCTTCTTTTAAGTGAAAATGAACAGACAGACTGTCCTTGTTCTATATGAAGGAAAGATACATATGAAGGAACATACAGTGTCCTTGTTCTATATGAAGGAACAGACTGTGTCCTTGTTCTATATGAAAAAAACTGTCCTTGTTCTGTATGGAGTAACAGACTGTTTCACATGGAGGAAAATTATGTTAAACTAATGGACTTGTGTATGTGTGTAAATTTGGTTTTGTTGCTATATGGCTAAGATATTGCTGAGGTGAAATCTAAACTCTGTCCATATGGAGGAGCCAGACAGTGCACTTGTCCTATATATTGGAAGAGACTTGTTCCTGTTCAATCTAGAGGAACACACAGTGTTCTTGTTCTCTATGGAGCAACAGTGTCCTTGTTCTATATGAGGATCAGACAGTGTTTTTGTTCTATATGGAGGAACAGTGTTCTTGTTCTCTATGGAGTTCTTGTTCTATATGGAGGAACAGACTGTGTTCTTGTTCCACAAAAACAGCCAAAAAGAGTGTTTGTACCAAACGTCAAAAACCAGATCAGTGTCAAGTAGCTGAATTACAAGTGATTCAGTGGGATTTGATTGGCCACCCAAGCAAAACCAAACATCTTCTATGTCCACTGAAACGGAGAAAGGACTTGGCCTACGTGTATTTCACAGAACGCACACAGTGGTTTTTACGTTTATGCCTCAATAACGCAAAAGACATTTGAAGTCGTTTTGAAGTATTTCCAAAAGATACATGAACATTCGGGATCAAAAGCAAGGGTGTCGCGTAACTATTGTACAACCAGTCAGATCGTTCCGTCAGATCACACGCGAGACTTACACCTCAGTTGCTACAAGGCTGATATGCATTTCAACCCTTTTCACTTTCTTGACACCGTGTGAAAACGCAGTGAAATTGGATTACCCAACTAAATCTGTCCGTAATTCAATTGCGAAAAGTTACAAGATGATTCCTTCAACACCCACAATTGAGTCCGAATTCGATAGGATACCTTGTTCTCACGATCCATCTGACAATGACCGGGTTTTGTGTCCGCTTCCATTGCTTTGTGTAAAGCGCATCAAACGTCAACCTAATCAATGTCAAAGTGACGTGTTTTACCGCGCAAACTACAAAAAGACCCAAGCCAGCTGTTGACAAATGGACATGATCCTTTCATTAATCTTCGGCTCAAACAGATGTTTGGTTCTCGTGGAAGAGCCACGGGTCTTTTAATTGCCTATTCTGAAATTCAGTGAGAGGGTCCCGTCTCCGCGCCAGGTTCGTTTGATCCCGTCGCGTGCTGTAATCTACTGACTCTCTGAACACCAAGAGCAAATAACCGGCGTGCAGGACAGCAGCTCAGTCATCGTTGCCCGTCACATCAAACGGACGGAATCTGTCCTCCGTCTTCAGAACACAGGTACACTCGGTGCCACGGGCTGGCTGTAACTGGTGCAATCTAAGGAAAGAGGTAGACGGTATTTCGATGTAAGATCTCATTCATTACTGTGAAAAAGGGAACTGGGAATTGAAGATGCAATGTTTCGAGTGGTAGGCAGTTGAGGCGTATTGTTAACTTGTAAGTCAGTTAGGAATTCGTAGGTTAGACATCTTCTTGAATCAGTTGCTGGCCCTTATATGGAGTGAAGGCTCTTTTAAGTCGAGTGCTTTGGGAAATTGAACTACATCGAGACCTAGTGATGATTTTAGATTTGAATGTTCAAAGAGTTCTTCTGGATTAAAGGGACGATGGGTAGGAGAGTGGTTAAAACGAAAGCTCCTCACGACCATTACTGAAATCGGCGTCAGACCCCTTCAATCACTTACTCTGGTGGGCTTAATGAGGGGAGGGGTTGGGTGGGAGGGGTAGCCTAGTGGTTGAAGCGTTCGCTGAAGACCCGGGTACGATTCCCCCCATGAGTACAACGTATAGTGTCCCCCCGCCGTGATATTGTTGGAATGTTGCTAAAAGCGGCGTAAAACTAAATTGACTCACTCACTTACGGAGGGAGGGAGGTGGTTTGTGTGGTTGCATTAAGGTTTAAGTGTTAGCGTAAATATAACGTTCTAGAATTGAAACAAATTTAGATTGCAAAGTTAAATACAGTAACGTAGGGTCATAACTGTCTTAAAGGGACCACTTAGTTCGCTGTGTCAGTGAGTGGCCAGAACCCCAAAACAGTTCGTTACAAGCGTGTTCATAATGACTGACTGACTGAGTTTGGTTTTACGCCGCTTTTAGCAATATTCCAGCAACATCACGGCGGGGGACACCAGAAATGGGCTTCACACATTGTACCCATGTGGGGATTCGAACCCGGGTCTTCGGCGTGACGAGCCAACGCTTTAACCACTAGGCTACCCCACAGCCCCTGTTCATAATGAACGAAGTTGATTGTAAGTCCAAGGTATGTATAATATTGAAAGGAATGTAAAGCGTAATTTCGCCTCACTGTGAGGGAGATTGATGGGTTTGTGTGCATTGGTGATGATACATTACAACACACTCGGTGGCGTAGCCTAATGGTTAAAGCGTCCGCTCGTCACTCCGAAAACCCGGGTTCGATCCCCCCATGGGTGCAATATGGGAAGCCCTTTTCTCGTGTCCCATGCCGGTACTCTGCTGAGTTCGGCTAAAACTGCGTAAAACCATAGTCAGTCACACTCGTAGTGTCACGTACAGCGGTTGGGTAACACAGTGGTTAAACCGGTCGCTCGTCACGCCCAAGACCCGGGTTCGATTCCCCATTGGGTATAATGCGTGGAGCCCATTTCTGGTATCATATACGTTGGCATATTGCTTAAGGCGGCGTAAAACTAAACTCACGTAGTGTAATACAACTCCGAGTATGAGTTCCAGGTCTTGTTCAGACCCCAGTACTCTCGGCAGTGACCAGGTAGTATTATGGGACACCAGTAGCATGGTTATTTGTTCATGCTGTCGACCACTAGTTTGCCTGGTCCAGCCTTGATTGTTTCAGTCCGCCGTGATAATGCTTACATATATACCCCTTTAAGACCATCTCGTAAATCAAAATCCTGAACTTTATCTCTAATTCCTGATTCGTTACCACGACTCTTGTCCAGGCGAACGCGCATGCTAGCTGCAGTACCAGTTCATGATTTTGTGTTTTCAAACGGAAATAACTATGTCTGGTTGAAGAATTTAGCAATATCTAAAAACTGGAAACTATCTATCGTGTCGGTCTGATAAAAAGATGAGTAATTTTGTACGGTAAGGTATACCTATGTTTGACAAATCTCCGCCATATATTTACCGCTTAGTTGAATATCTCGAAGCACGACCGCTATCTTAGGCTGAAAAACTCGTTTTTCACACTCAACGTGGTTGCACGAACTGTGAGCCTTACGTTTTAAGAGAAAATAACGTCTATGATGAACTGCCAAAGAAACCTATTTTACCATTTGGTTATGCAAGTATTCTTCGCAATGGTGTAATAAATCTATCCCAGTTACATTTGGTATCTTTGAACTGTGAGAATATTTCGCTCTGGTAAGTGAAATATCCGACGAAGCAAAATGAGGCGAAACCGCCGGAGGTTACAGGTATGCATAAATATAGATACTCATATACCTACAGTGAACGCTTCTGAC